CCAACAGTTTGTTGTCATCACTAGGTAGGAGCACCAACACTTTCTGTCCTGGGTGGAAGGATCTCTGCCTGACTGACTTGTTGTACCAGGACTTCTGTTGCTGCTGGGCATCCGCCATGTGCGATTGGGCCAGCTCACCCATTTTCTCCAGCCGCTCTCTCATCTGGATGACATAGAATACAATGTTAACAGATCCCACCCTCCCCTTGCTCCCCTCCCAGATCTCTCTCAACAGTGTGTTAGTGGTTTTTACATGGAAATATAAGAGTTGATGTCGTGAGACAAAATTGGCCACAGAAACCTTTTTTTTTTTTTTTTTTTTACATTCTGGGTATCTGGCTGCAAGTGACAAGTGGTAAATTAAACCACTGTGATGTCCTGTGGCTTTTTGCAACTACAGCGCTATCAGGGGGAAGAGAGAAGCATAGTTTCTCAGAAGAGCTAATAATAATGATCCTAAGTGAAACAAGAAGTACAGTTTAATAAATATTCAGCAGTATGGGTGACAATTCTGCAAAACAGGTTCTGTCTTTCTCGATATGAGGATGCTGTTTCTGCAAAAAGGTGTGGAAACTTCCATACCCAGATATGAGGTTTTTTTTTTTATATGAACTGATGCTGTCCATGAACAACAAGCTGCTCTGCATAGTTTACCACACCTAGCGCAAAGACACGAGAAAAGCAGAACCAGCCAGACATCAAGGAAATGTGAAAAAACCACAAACACTTTTTTTTAATTAGACGGTTTCTCTTGTATAGAGAAGATAGCGCACTCAACGAGGGGATTCTTTTTCGGCAGCCAGAGAGGCAACATCTCTGACAACATGCAATGCAACTTCAACGGGACTCTGCTGATCAGTGTGCTGCCTCCACTGCTGGCCACAGAGTTTATTTTTGGAGCGTTAGGAAATGGCTTGGCTCTCTGGATCTTCTGCTTCCACCTGAAGCCGTGGAAAAGCAGCACAGTGTTGCTCTTCAACCTGGCCATGGCTGATTTTCTCCTCAACATGGCTCTGCCTTTCAGGGCCAGCTACTACAGCTCTGGGATAAAGTGGAGGTTTGGCGGCGCTTTTTGCAACATCTGCCTCTTCTTGCTGGCGATGAACCGCAGCGGCAGCACCGTCTTCTTGATGGTGATCGCCTTGGACAGATACATGCGCGTGGTGCATCCCCATCACCCCATCAACTCTCTGAGCATCTCTAAAGCTTGGTGCGGAGCTCTGGCACTGTGGCTGATCACCATCTGCATGACCACTCATGTTTTCACCTTAAAGCACGTCAACACGACCTACTGTGAGAGCTTCATGATCAACACTGAACCCGGACACAACCTGACCTGGCATAAGTTTGAGTTCATCTTCTCCTTCTATTTGCCTCTGCTTGTGATTCTCTACTGCACGATCCACATCGTCGTCGTCCTGAGAGGGAGGCAGCTGGCCAAGGATGCAAAGATTCAGAGGGTTCTGTGCTTCCTCATCGTGGTGGCAGCGCTCTTCATTTTTTGCTTCCTCCCGAGCAACATCATGCAGCTGCTGATTTGGATCAAGACCAAGAAAGCACACAGCACCCTGCAGGAATCTGAAGTCTGCCCGGCCCTGGAAGACCTGACCACAGCTTTTTACATCAGCATCAGCCTGACTTATCTCAACAGCGCATTGGATCCTTTGGTCTACTACTTCTCCAGCTCTGCCGTTAAGACCAGCTGCAGGAAAGCTCTTCATCTGCCCCAAGCAGACACGATCGAGAGTACGGAGAGGAAAACTCGAGAGACAGGCTCCCAGTCACTCAGTCAGCTGGCTCACAGGGAGATTATTGAGGGGATCGTTGAGATGGAAGCAGGAAGATGAAAGCTCATTTTAATTTAAAAGTTTTTTTTTATGTAAGCTCTGCAGCTAAAAAAGAAGATAACATTTTACTTTACATACAGCAGATGTAACCTAAATGTTTGCTCCACATAATTTAATTTCCTTTGCAAAACATGTGCAGGCAGCTTTACTTTGTCATTCTTTGTATAACCTCTGCACTTTAAGCATTGTTGGGTAATAAGACACTTTATCAGTTGTGAAGTGGAGCTACTACTGCAGGAAGTTAGAAGGAAACAAGCTGATTGATTCAGCAGTATGAAGAATGGTAACACAGGAACGCACAAAAAAAAAAAAACACATTAACTTGTGCAATATTTTTGGGGGGCTTTTGGGGACGTCAGGGGGCTCCGTATTTCTTGTCAGCAAAAAAAAAAGATGTAGCAATTTGCCAGGAAAAGGCATGTCTGATAGAGGGATTTAGTGTGTGTGGATGCATGTTTATGTGTTGATGCGTGTGGTGAGGGGTGGAGGGGCTTGAAAGATTTTCATCTACGATGGAGAGGACTGAAAAAGTTATTACAAGTGGGATATCTCTTTAGTTGGAGTGTGTAAAGAAAAATGCATTAAAATCTATTTTGCTATTAATTGTTGAAATATCTTAGACTGTTAATAAAAAATAAAAAGACAACTCAACTATTTTGTTTTATGGGAAATAAACCTTTTTTTTTTATCTCTCATCGTGTAACTTAACTGGCAGTTCATTAAAGTTCTAGTGCACCTTTAATTTGTGTATTTATAAATAATGAGTTTCATATTTAAATACTTTTTCCCCTTTCATTATATTATTAACTCTGAACACAAGAGGAAGTGAAACACTGCTGCAAGAAGGCAAAACATGTATTCAATCTCTTTACAGTGACAACAGTAAAGTCAGACTACTTCCAATGAAGCTACTGTGTGAAATAATATAATATTTGACTGAAGACCTCACATCTTTATATTTGACTGAAGACCTCACATCTTTATATTTGACTGAAGACCTCACATCTTTATATTTGACTGAAGACCTCACATCTTTATATTTGACTGAAGACCTCACATCTTTATATTTGACTGATCAGCAGATTTCCATTCAGAGCTTCCTCACAGAAACATCATCTGAGTACTTTTATGATTGATAACGGCACTAAGGTTGTCAAAATGTACAATACTTTAATGCTTTTTCAGCACCATGTGTTTTGAACTGATACCATCTCTGTTATTTATGTGATCGATAGTAGACAGGCCTGGCCAATAAGATCGGTAATGGCTTTTTTTAACCACAGATATCTGCCTATATTACCAGATTTATTCACCAGTAAAAACCATTTAATTTGAGTTTCATTGTAATCACACTAGCAGCTCTCTTTCACCAACAGAGGACGCTATACAGATTACAACAAGCACCATCACTCTCCAGTGTGTCAAGTGATGATGTTCGTAGGTGCAGTTACTTTCCAGTTGAGTGACCGACTTGTCTTCATTATGTTTTTTCCACAAGTGTTTCATAACTGCATTTGAGGGATCATCAAAAAAAAATGTGTATAACTATCTACCGCTACAGATTGAAGATAGATCTAAGAAAGATATCGGCCGATATGAAAGGTATCAAATCTTCTCTTCCTAATATCGATATCAGCCCCAGAAATCCCAAATCTGTCCGGCCCTAAGCGATGATATTGAAAAGTACCAAAACTACTTCATTAGACAGGTGTGTTGGAGAGGAATGAATTCATCAAACATTTCAGGTAAACTCCAGCACTCCAAGCAATTTTTGATCATTGAAAACAAGAAATGAATTAATATTGGAGCCTAAGAATTCTGTTTGCTGCCATGGAATCGAAACAGGTACACAACAGGAGAGTGGGGGACGACATGCAGCAAAGGGCCGTTATTGGATTCTAACCCACAGCCACAGCGACAAAGACTATAGCCTCTGTACATGAGGCGCACAACATAACCTCTAGGCTATCAGCGCTCCCTAGATCAACTTAACTTTGACTATAAATCTACATGAAATGTCACATCTAGACAATATGAGAAGTCAGATCTCTCCCTGTGTTCAGCTGAATGAAGGTGGGTAACTAAGAGAGACCACAGTGTGCGGTGTGCCTCAGGGTTTAAGCTTCTGACGGCACTTCATCAAGAGTAATGTTTGCTGTTACACATTAAAAAGATGCATGTTGCAGGGTCACACTTTGAAGTTGCAATTAAAAGAACTCCTGAACACATTACAACAACAAGCAGTAGCTCAGTCTGTTGGGTCTTGGGTTGGGAACTGGAGGGTTGCTGGTTCAAGTCCAGGTATGGACCAAAATATGGAAGTTGGTCTGGTAGCTGGGGAGGTGCCAGGGTACTTCCTGAGTACTGCTGAGGTGCCCATGAGCAATGCACCCAACCCCTCCAAGAGCTCTGGTGCTCTCTGTGTGTAGCAGCCCCACTCTCTCATTGCTCCATTAATGCATGACCACAGCTCCAGTGTGTGCATGTGTGTGAAGCATTTCTCAATAACAGAGGGTAAAACAGAATTTCCATCCAGGATTAAAAAAATAAATAAAGCATATAAAAAATAACAAGTGTGCTCAATGAAAGTCTCACATGTTGTGAAGTTACAATATTGTGGCACAACCATACAGTACCCTATTCTGCCAAGGTGGAAACTAAAGATACACTGCAGAGAAAATCAAAGAAACTGATTTAATCTTAAAGGCTTTGTATGTGATTTTTTGATCCAGCAGATGTCGCCCTTGAGCACCAGCATGAAACCAAAACAACTCGCGCTGCATTGTTGTGTTAGCATGCTAATGCTAGCGATATTTATTATGCTCGTATCTTCACACTGCATGTAAATTTACCTGAAATGAGCGTGATCTAGAAACACAGTTAAGCAGTGAGTACAGTATGTTATTCTTCTTTTCTCTAGTCCCTCAATTAAACAACTTTTATACGTGAGGGGAGGAGTCAGCCGGCCGTCCTGGCGATGTAAACAAACTGAAGATAGGACTCTGAAAACATCACAGACAGTGGGACTCGGGTGTTACACCCATTGTAGACAGTCATGACTCACAGAGTTATTTTCAGAGGATATACTTGATTTATATTATATTTAAGTATGAAAAATCACATATAAAGACTTCAAGTTTTTGAAGGAACGAAGACATTTGTACAAGCTTCAGTTTATTGATGTGAATTCTCCCAAGAGGAGAAAAGGCAGCGTTTAGAAACTTCTTTTCAAATATACGTTTGACATTTTATGACACGTTTGTTATCCTGTCTTCTTATTACTTTACCTCACTGCTTCTCTACTTCATGCGAGTCATCAAACACAATACACACATGTACTGTATGAACAAGTCAGGAGGTACTATAATAAAATATAAATGTGAGTTTTATTCCCCAAAAGAATTCCTTTATACAATGAATAAAGAACAACATCTGATTAAATATGACAAGAAGAGGAGAAAGGTAAATGGAGAGGTGCAAATGTTGAGTCCCAAACAGAAACAGAAGAATAAAGCTGCAGGAAGAAGTTCATCCTGAAACTCCATTTTGCATGTTGAGAAACTCCTGAAAAAAAAAAGAAGAAAGAAGAATTTAAAGTCTGTTACAAGTTAAGAAGATGAAAAAAACAAAACATTTATGTATTTGAATGTCATAAAGCCACCGGTTTATTCATCATATTATTCTCCCTATCCTGCATTGTGTCTCAGATTAAACCGGCTGAATGACGTCAGCTTCAGTTACCTTCAGGCCGCTCGGCGAGGGGGCGCCGTTTGTCGTCGGTTTCCCTCTTTGATGCTCTCCGTGTTTCACGAAGGCTCGAGCGAGCGAGTTCGCGTCATCCTGACTGAGAAACATTTGAACATGTTTGATCTTTGTTACATTCAGTATGAAGGATTCAGACGTCAGACCATTCACCTGTATACAGAGTGTAAAGATGGACCACTCAAAAGTACGGTGGCTGGGAAGTGAAAACCCAAAATTACACAGTGAGACACTTTTTACATGTTGGGAAACATTTTTACATTAAAAAAAATGAAATTTACAAAAAGCGAAAACACTTTCACCGAGGACAAAACAAATGTATATTTTAGAAAACAAATTTACAAGATGCAAAGCACTTTTACGAGCGCTGATAAAAATTTACAAGAGGTAGAAACTTGGCGGAAAATGGAACGTACCAAATGCCAGAAGTGAGCGAGTGAGCTGTCACTTATATTGGCAGGGTGGATTTTATCGCCTCATTTGACACCTACCCTGCAGCTGAAGGCATTAAAAATAACTACAGAGAAATAAACCCATCTTCTGAGATTTTCTCGCTCAGAGAGGCTTCAGTCTGTTTCATACCCAGATAAAAACTCCTCACAGAGGCTTTCAATTAAATCAAGTATTAATATGTTATTTAATCTAATTTACAATCTAACCGGAGAACAAACCACAGATAAGAAAACTCCGGTGAACGCCAGAATATTCATGAAAACTGCTCAAGAATTTACCAGTTCTGGCTGATCAGGAGGTCCACCAAGTCCTTCACCTGGTTCTGCTGTCCCCGCGACACGATCAGCTGCTTCAGATGCTCAAAGTGTTTGGTCTTCAACAGTTTCTGCTGCTCTCCGTTTTGGATGATGAAGGTCAGCACGGTTTCCCTGACCTGAGGACACATTTAAAAGGTATTCATGTCAAACAAAGCAGACGCACAGAGTGCTGCGTGGGTGATGCAACACGTTTTAAAAGAACGTGTCCCTCTGGTGCTTTTCAGCGTGGGGACCCAACTTAGAAACTGTCGAAGACACTCAGCGAGGTATTTAATTTTAAACAAGCCTTTAATTCATCGGCGCTACGATTTATAAAAACATGCCAACATGTTGGTGCCCTGATGAAGGATATCACTCACACCTTTAAACCCAAACATCACAGTTAAGATCTTCACACCTTTCAGTCTGCAGAAGTGAACCTGATAAACAGGAAACTATGTTGGAGGAGATATATTTCTACAACATCAACATCAGTGGTGTGCATTAACTGCAGAACAGAGTCCCAGAGTACATCTGATCTTATCAACACATCTTTCTTTGAACAGCAACAATTCAGAACACATGTTATCTCGAGACCTTTGACAAAAGAGTTGTTGCTCCATTTGGCATTTTACTGAGTTAAAGAGCTAGCCATAGCACTTAGCAGGGAGTGACTGATCATCCCCCCCCAAAAAATGAAGTTCAGCAAACAGGAAATTATGTAAAAGCGATGCTGCAAAAGTCACAGTGTGATGTGGACACTATATCCAATATGAGGATGAAGCAACAGAGTCTGATGCTCTGATGACATTTCCCACACTTCCCCTTCAACATTTCCTGCTTAGTTCACACATCAGCTGAGCTCTTGCAGAGATCTTACTGTACGAGGGGGCTGGCAGGACAAGTCATGCAGCTCAACCCGGACATTTCAGGACATTTCAGGAGTGCATGTGTGAGAGGGATATGTGCGTAAACACTTATTTTACTCTGAAATCCTAGACTAGATGTTGTCTGACCTGTGAGGGGATTCCTGCCAAGTCTCCCGTGTTCATTAGCTCCTCCTCCTGCTCCAGGACAGCCACGGGGTCACACACTGACAGAAAGCCCTGGAAACAACAAAGAGACACTGTGAGGGTCACAATAACGTCATGAGAATTAAAGATCTAACCTTCCTGTTTCTTTTCTGTCATTTTGATACTCACCTTGATCTGCTGCGCCTTTTTATGAGCACACGGGATGAGCAGCAGAGTTCCCAGGGCGAAGGCTGGAAGATTGAACTGTGCAAAACGATTTGCAATTCCTATCAGGTCCAGATTTAACAGGAAAGGGCACCTTGGGAAGAAGGCGAGGCAAGTTTAACTTTGTTTGTACCCGTAGGTAGATTTGATATACAGTGAGTGAGTCGACCTCCTTTTACATACAAAGAGGAGGACGGGACAAAACATGATGAAGTCACTACAGTGCTCAATGCTAGAGCAAAAAGCGCTCCATCAAGATAAAGGAACAACAAGATAAAATGTGCAGTATCAATATATAATCTACAGCACTGCTGCTGTTTTATGTGGGTGGTATAAATCTATGCTTGTATCTTTTAGTTTTACAGGATGATACTTTAAACCTACATCCAGACGAGGGGAGCAGAAATTCAACATCTAAAGGGCGGGAGTCATATCTTAAAATAGAGCCGGGTATCCTCTGTTACTGTTATTTAAGAACGATCTTTTTTTCTTCGATCTCTTTGCTGTTATAGATTTTATTCCGCCTGAGGTCCAAACTCCACCAATTTTTCATTAAATCAATTTCATTGGTTAAAAAAATCTATGATTTCTCTTTAAGGAGTTAGTGGTTTTCTACTGTGCTAGTCTTAGGACACACCCCTGATCTAAAGGACTTGCAGGAGCCCTTCATTAGGAAAAAAAGATTGTAAAAATGTTGCACTGTCATTTGATCAATATGATCCATTTTGATTGTTTTCCCAGCGTTCAGAGCAGTTGGCTGTAAATGGTTGAGATGGGAGAAAAACGTACTTGAGCAGAAGAACAAAGGTCCTGTACAGCGTGGCTTGTTGTTCCGGACTCAGAGGAACAGAAGCTGTGGACAAGAGGACAGAACAGACAGTGAGTGCAGACGTTTATTTAAAACCTTTAATACAGGTGGATATTTCTCTCCATGTGCTATAAGCCTAAATTAAACTCGTGCAAAAGGGTTCCAGTATTTAATTTTACTTTTTGGATTTCATTCAGTGCAAAGAAACAAGCTCCTTCATGCAAATACAAAAAGGACAACACATATTTTTAAAGGCTGTCAGCATTAACTAATTAAGCGCAATAAATAAGTCCAGAAATAAATTCTTTTTTTTTTTATTGTGATTAATCCCATGCTATTTTGTCCCTTTAGGCTCTCCGTAGATAGTCCTCCTCAGTGTCTCCTGTAGTCACAGTGATGTAAAAGAAGGACACTGCTGCATCTTTGAATGTCTCATTTCACTTTAACAAACTCTCAGACAGCTCAGCCGACGAGTCCAAAGTAAAAATCCACCTCATGACATCAAACAGTTCACTTTTTAATCGTTCCTTTTCGCTGTTTTTAGCAAGTTTTGGATCCTTTTTACCTCGTTAAGTTAATGTCGTAATCTTCAATCTACCAGAAGGTCCTTAAATTTATTTCAAAATAAAAGCAGGGATGAATCCAAACAGCAGGTACTCTCAACAAATCCTAAAAAAAAAGCTCTAACAAGTCTTGTTTTTAAAAGTGAAACAATGGAATTTCAAATATGCCATTATCTATTGTAATTTTGGGATTAAAAAGTGTGATCATCACACAGCATTTTTTTCTCATGTCTTTTTAAGGCTGCATCGGTCATCCATTTTTTTGTAATAAAGTACCTGAGACAAAAGGAGCCAGGATCATACTCCTCCACGTCCTGGAGAAACTTGAAATCTGAAGAGGAAGAAAACTTTTATTGTTGTAGTGGTTGAGGTGTAGAAGAGGTTGATTTTTCTGTGATATTTATGGTCGTGGTCTTGATCCCTAAATGTCTCGATCTCTGAGCTCTCTGGTCTTGGGTATGTCTTGGTTTCAGTGAGGTCTTGACTAAGACACTAATTTAATCTAAAAAACTGTTGATTCAACTTAAACTCCAATTTTACCCTACTCAATAAAATATGACAACTCAATGGTATTTGTAGGCAGTGTTTCTCGATGTGTTCGTATTATGACCATTATTTGCATGTTGCATCACGTTACCTCCCACAGAGCAGGCACAGCCATTACTGCCTCTAGCACCCTCTGAAGGTGGTTGATCTGCGGGGGGGAAATCAGAAGGATGAATATATATTCATAACACACCTTTGTTTTATTGAAGCACTTCTTGATAAAGTTTTTTTCTCCTCACCAAGTTGAAGCCCAGCAGCTTCTGCAGCAGACTGTTCCACAGCTGAGCGTCGTACACCTGATACTCCAAACACAGGTCTGCAACCAGCCGCACCGCCTGAAATGACAAAGGGGTTTCAGGATCCAGATGTGCAGTTTTCCGCTAGGCCATCTGCACCCCTATCACTCAGTTTTTTTTGTCTGTTTGCAGTGTTTTCATGTTTTACACAATGCCTGTGTTTGCAACATGTCCCTCCTGAATCCAAAATTCCCCCACCCCCCAAATTATTTTAACCACTTAATAGTGACCTATTGATGCGAGGGTGGCTGATAGATAGGTCAGCAGCATCTGACCGAAACAAAACGATGTAAAAGAACGGCAATTATACTCAGGTCTCCATCCAACAGGTAAAATGTACGCATGAAATCATTTTTTTGTAAGAAATTCTGAATTTTGCTACAATTCTTGATTCTTGCAAATCTTTAAATCTTGACAACGAGTTTCTTATTGGTCTTAGAGAGAAAGTACCTGTGGCTCATGGCTGTGGTTCTTCCACAGCCCTTTGACCAAGCCTTCTTTGGGACTGTTGAGAAAGACTGCACAGTGTACGGGATGTTTAAGGCCTCCAGTTGAGAAACAAAGATGTAGCACTTCAGGTAATACCTACATGGAAATATGACAAACACAAACATCAACACATCCTGCACATCAACTTTCGCTATCTGTCAATTAATAAAGGTATTCAACCATTACAGTTAAAACAGATTCCATGTTCTCTTACTGGATTTTGGTACTTGGGATCTGCAGCTGAGCCTCCAGAGTTGCTGCATCAGCGAGGCGTACAAGACAAAGCAGCGCTCGAGTTCGATGGCAGAAGGTGAGACGAGGCCCAGAGGTGCTGAGGGGCTACAGGGAGTGACAAGAACTGAGATGAGGCATTCCCTCTTTGAAGTACCCACATCCTGTTTCTGGGCGTGCACGCTCATGCAGCGACCGGCAGTGGGTCTTCAGCTTCCTTTACCTCAATCAACTCTGCACAACAAAATTACCTTTCTTGGTATTACTAAAAATAGAAACCTTAACCTTAAACATCTTGAGCTCCGTATTTAACCTTCCTCCTGGTCCTAATTATTCATTCTGATGCTTAAATGTGTTTATGTTCTTAATATTGTTTGACTTAATTTATTTATTCTTCTTCCTCCTCTTGGCTCTTGCACTTTATAAAAACACGGAGAGAACAATGTAGTTCTCTTATCTGTTAAAATGTTTTATAATAAAAAATGATGTAAACTTAAACAATGAGGAACTCTCTTTGAAGGCTTGTTCCTATATTGTCTCTCTGCAGTGTGTTACTCACCCAGGTCTCTGCTGATAGGATGGGGCTTAGAAGACGCAAAGCATCATTCATAGAGCAGGACTGCAGCATGTACACCACCCTAAGCTCGTCAAATACACAAAACAAGACATGAAGCAAAACATGTAACGCTGTAATGCAAAAATATAAAAAGTGCTTTTTTTTCTAATTCAAATACTGCAGGAAGTTACAGTGACGGCTATTACCTCATTAAGTCTGGATCCTCTTCGATGTTGTTGACACATTCATAATTACCGATATCCTTCATAAAAGAAAAAGATGGACTTGGTAAATTGTCTTGATCTTGTTAGTTATTTTCTAGTCTTCTGACTTATTAAAACAGCTTTTAAACTACAGGTCACACCTACACATTCACACACTGGTGACAGAGGCTGTTGTGTTTTTGACTGAGATGCAAACAAACCATGATCAGCCATGATAAGCGTGTGCACATGAGGGTAAGCTCAGGGGGGACAAACCTTGGTCACAGCAGGTCCCGTTTTGCAGATCCACTTTTCTAACATCATGTTTCGGATTTTCAGGAGATCCACGCTGTTGATGGAGGCTATTTCCTTAACGGCTGCGTGTATATCTGATCAAGAAAAGGCAAGGCAGGTTTATATAAAGAGCACATTTTAAAGCAACAAGACATTTCAAAGTGCGTCACACAAGACACCAAAAGCATCATGACAAAGGGGGAAAAAGACATTAAAAAAAGACATTAAAACAAACCTTAAAACAAACCATTTACAATCACGATGAATGATCCAATTCAGAGGTTTGAGCGTTGTTCAAGTTACAAAATGTTAACAGAATATAGTTTTTAGCTCAGATATAAACAATTTGTTGTCTGAAATAGGAAAAAATGTAAAGGCAGAAAGAGGTCCGATACCTTGCGGAACCGCCAAGACAGTGTGCCTTGTGGCGCACTCTGGACAAACTGAATGCGCTCACCTGGGTAAGTTTGTCCTCCTGTGTCTCTGTACTGCTGCTCCACACTGCTGTGTTCGTACAGGGCCACTATGAGCCGGGCTGGCAGCCCAGTCAGCTTCAGAAGCTCGGGGCTGTTGAGCTGGCCGGTGATCAAGGTGTTCTCAGTCGCCGAGCGCTGGAACTGCAGCTTCAGCTTGGACAGGAAGGTCTCCCCTCTGGCCCTCGCTGCCTCCTGTTCAGGATTAAAACCAAAACAGTTTAAGAAAGACTAACCAGATTAAGACTTTAGAGGCTGTTCGGTCGGATTTCTTCAGGTGAAAATCTGATATACCGACCTCAAGGTTGGGATCTTTCAGCCAGGCATCTCCCAGAGCCAAACAGAACTTGAGCGACTGGGTCTTCTCATAGCCTGGAGAAAGGAGGAAAACATTCAGTATACAGCTAGAAAAAGCAGAGCGGCAGTGTAGCTGTGTTGTCTTATCTGCGGGGTCAGACCTGCCGGCAGCTCCTGGGTGATCTTGTGTGCTGTGGCTGCAGCCCACTCCGGGCTCTGGATGCAGTGGATGTACTTCATCATGGTCTTGGCCACCTTGAATGTCTCCTTGTTTTGGCCGTAACCCTGACCCTTCTTCCTCTGCTCTAAGAGTAACGGCTTCATCTTCTTCTCAAACACGTGGTTCGCTGCTGACATGTACAGCTTGTCAAGGCTCACCTGGAACGAGACGGGTCAGGTTTAAATAAGCTGCGTAACAAGTCGAGATGTTCTGTAAATGGTTTTGTGACATGAAAAGTGAGTGACTCTTCTTTTGGATTAGTGTGCTTTTACCTTCATCAGTTTGCTGATCAGAAGAAGTGTAGGGAAGGTCTCCTCACTGAGTTCAGGAGCTAAACACAGAAACAAACATTGAACACTTCTTGTTTAGTAAAAACATCTTTTTAAAACATTAATGCGAAATAAATTAAATAATTAAATACAGAACAGAATTTAACATGCTGAGCTTCACATGGCGAACACAGTGACGCACGTTTGAAGCCTCTTCCGTCAACCATTTCAGTAACTCAGCTTCAGGATGGTAAAAGCTTTATTTATTAACTCAACGGTAATAAACCGGTAACCAGCTCAAACCGGTTTAATATAAAATGGAGTCTCAATTAAACATTGTGTCCCTTTTAGCGTTCTCACACTTTTCTTTTTAAGATTTATTTGGGGGCTCTTCATGACTTTATTTTGGAGACAGGACAGCGGATAGAGTCAGAAACTGGGGGGAGAGAGAGAGAGGGGGAACGACATGCAGGGAAAGGAGCCAAAAGCCACTCTCGGAGACCCAAGCAACCGTACATGGGATGCGCACACTAACCGCAAGGCGACCAGCGCGTGGCAAAATTTCAATGGTATATTATCTGCATTAAAATACATAAACATATTCTGATATGTTTATACAGCTCCACAGGCCGACACTTCTGCAGAGCACTCGTCAATGCAAATATTAAGAGGGGTCTCTCTCTCTCTCCCCTCGGTGCAGAAAGTAGGAATAGACGCACTGCTCTACGAAGCAAGAACTACTGAATGATCTGTTATTAAATCTGCATTTTGTTTACAGATAACTATTCTTACATATTTTAATCAACAGATTTATAGAGGTTCTCATCTTTGCTGTGGATGAGCTTTGTTAAAGGCTTTATATGCGATTGTTTGATCCAGCAGATGTCGCCCTTGAGCACCAGCATGAAACCAAAACAACTCGCGCTGCATTGTTGTGTGTTAAGTGTGAAAAATCACATATAAAGCCTTTAAAAAATATTAAAGGCACGTCTCGAATAGATGCCAGTCCCAAATAAAGGCAGGGTGATTTCATAGAAGAGGGAAATAGAAGCCCAGGCTATCAATTCATGTGTTAAAATAACTTACAGATAATCTTCCAGTAATGTTTGGTCTGCATGAGCAGGTGGAAGGGCAGTCTGCTGGTGGACAGCAGGTTTGGCAGCAGGCTGTTTTCTAGAAGATAAGTGCTCTCCACGTCTGACTGAGGAGAGACTCTCCTGTATGACTTCAGGTGCTGAAGGAGGCCCATCGCCTGTGGATAAGAAGAATAATATATAAGATACAAGCATCTGTTTAATAGCAAAGGTGCCACTGTGTTGTTGTTGTTGTTTTTTTACCTGACTAACAGAGAAGCTTGTCACGTTCTCGTCTGCAGCCTGTATGATCTTCAGCACCACTTCGATCCGCTCATAGTTGTAAGGGCTGAGCTGGAGGGTAAAGACATTGTCCATGTTAGATGAGCAGCAGAACTTACAATTAGTTTGAACACTTTCAACACAGGGAGTTTTTCATTCTGTTTTGTTCTTCTGACACGAACCTTGAACAGAGCAGCACAGAGGCTTTCCGTGAGCTCGCTGGTGCTGTGCAGCATGGGGATAACCTGCAGGACTCGCTCCAGTGCGTCTGCATGACATAAAGGCTGCATCTCTTCCTGGCCTGTGCTTGAATCACCAGCAGCCTCCTCGTCCTCCTGTAGCAGCAGTAAGGTGATGATGTACTGGTTGATCACGCCGTCACGGTCTAGACCAAAGGTGCTGTAGATGGAATTAGATAAAAAAAATATTTTTTTTTTACACTGAGAGAGATTAAAGCAGATTTCGATCGTGTCGAGTGAGCAGCTGACCTGCAGTACTTTAGGATAATGTCCGGGGTGATCTTCCTGTTTTTCACCAGATCTGGGATCAGACTTCCCTTCATTTCAGGCCGCTGACGGAAAACTGGCTGGATGGAAATCTGGAGCAGAGCAGGAGTAGACGTGGTAAAATTGATAAAGTCATGGCTTTGGATTTGAACAAGTTATTCATTCATTCAATTCAACCTTTATTTATAATAATAATAATAATAATGTATATTTTATTGAAATACACACACATGCACAAACAGAATCCTATGGACATGCACTAATGGAGAGATCTCAGAGTGAGGGGGCTGGTGGGGGCTCGGTGCCTTGCTTAAGGGCACCTCGGCAGTGCTCAGGAAGTGGACTGGCACCTCTCCAGCTACCAGGCCAATTTCCGGACTTGGTCCGTGCCGGGACTTGAACCTCGACCCTCCGATTCCCAACCCAAGTCCCTACAGACTGAGCTACTGCCGCCCGGAATATACTGGAACATCGAGTCATTACAGACTCAATTAAACTTGGGGTTTCTAAGAGGCTGAGACAGTAAGTAAGTACTGGAGTGTAATAAAAAAGTAAAAAATGCGCTAAAATAATTAAGCGAGCACAAAAATGCGATAAATAAAACACACTTACAAACAGAGGTTTGGAGGTTTAAAATTAGGTTTCTAAAATGCCCAAAATGTAAAAGTTCATTTCCCACAAGAAGAAGCTGTATGTTGGAAATAGGTCCCATCTGGGGTGCCATTTTTTAATCTAACGTTTGACCATGTGCCGGGGTATCAGTTAGACTTAAAGCCTAACAATACTGAAGTCAGGGTAATGTGAGTCAATATCTTGTTATCCTTTTAAAAGTGTAACAACATTAGAAAGCTTATTTATTATGTATTTCACATATTTACATGTGTTCTTACAGTAAAACTCTTCAAACTGTCTCTCATATAAAAGTAAATATCAAATAAAAGATGAAGTCAGAAAGGGAGTAATTAAAAGAAAAGCTTTCCAAACACGTACCTCCAGTTTGCCGAGCTCGATGCCCCACTCAGCATCAGTGATTACAGAGAGAAACTTCTCTCGTTCTCCTGCCTCGTTGTATAGGCAGCTCAGATTGGCCCCGATCCTCGCCACAGCCTGAAATCACCCAGACACAGTCGACCAGTTAGACTTGTTGAGGGTAATATGAATGAAGATGCTTAAATATATAATGAAGCAGTGATCACTTGTTACACAAACCTCTGTGTTCGTTGGATAAGTATGAGGTGAGTGAGGTTAAGGGGATTAACCTTTAAGGGGCCTCGGCATGACTCAGGAATTGAACTGGCACATAGCTGGTGCAACAGGTTACCAGTGTTTACTCAGACAAGAGTTTAACCTACTAAGGACCAAACTTAAAACTGTTATGATATTTGAAGGCAATCCTTTACACTGTGTTTTTAACAGACTCCGAAGCTCCTTCAGTGAGCGACTAGTGATGCCTCAATGTTCCACTGAACGGCTCAGGAGGTCCTTTGTTCTGCAGCAGTCCGACATTGAAATGAACATTTTTAGTTGTGTTTCTGACTCGTGGCTGTACATGATTGTTCAAATGGTTTCAGTGGTGTTTGTTATTTATTTACTTGTTGTGTACTATGATGTACTGTCGATATTGTTTGTTGTGTGTATAAACTGACCAGGTGACAAAAGAGTTTCCCTGCTGGGGATCGATAAAGTTTTCTAATCTAATCCAATGTGAAACTTGAAGTCTGACTGAAGTCTCACCACAACTTAAATATGTCTCAGGATTACAGCTTTCAGGAGTTCTCTCATACCCCATTGACGTGTTCGGTAAAACAATACATGGTTTGAATTACAGTACAATACAAAAAGGGATGATATTGCCTACCAAGATTTTGTCGTAGTTTTGCCAGGTGTTGTCGATAACCTTCCACAGTATCTTGAAGACTTCTGCTTTAGAGAGGAGCGTACAAAGTCCAAAAGCCAAATCACAATCCACCACTCTCCAGTTGAACACCTGTAACCCATTAGGAAATAGAGATTAGAGGTGATTCTAAAACAAAAACAAAAAATGTATTTCTGCTTCTACCTCCCCCACAACATCTGACTCACCTTGTTCAAGAGAGCCACAGCCACAGCATTCAGAGACGAACTGGTCGTCTTTCTGACATTATTCAAACATATATTGTAGTTCTTCAGCTCTTGTGTGTCATAAAGCTGAAAGAAAAGGTTACAGTAAAATGTTCAGTGCACACGTTGAAGTTGTAACACCATAGCTTCACTGATAATCTAAAAGGTAAATAACATCTGTGGCTGCTGCACCTGCACACTGAGCTTCATGTCCATAACATTGGAGGTGACGTGCTGCAGGCAGCTGCCGTACGAGTTGACCAGCACTCTGAGGGCCAGCTCCAGCTGACTGCACTCCTGTAACATCTGCAACATGTTCCCCAGGGAACCCAGGAGGGGCCGCAGGTAGTTTGAGCCTGCATGAGAACCGGAGGGAAGACACAAGGTCAACTTTTACAATAACAACGTCCTAAAAAACAGAAAGAAATATATTTACATACCGTCTTCAAATGAGCAGTGTGAGAGGCAGGAGCAGTCCAGAGGGTACAGTTTGGTATCTGCAAGATTGGGCATAATAACCATTTTGCTTAAGCCCGACTAAGGTGGTTAACTCATAAATCAGACAATGAATTTGAGCATCCTACCATGAGAAATAGGCAGCATACAGTTGGTTATTTCATACTGGACTGGAAGCACACACACCGGGTCCAGAACAATGCAGTCCTCATTAAAGACATCCTGAAAACTCTGAGAATATGGATCTTTTTCTGCCTCCAAAGTCAGATCCTGTGACATCACATCATTAAAAAAAGAACACATTTAGTTAATTTCACAATTTGTTAAAGGGAGACTTTAATCAATTTCACCTGGGAGATCCCTCTGTGAAATTTAAAGACTGATTTAAAACATCAATCACAAAAGAGAGCCAGTGAAGTGGATCACAAAGATACTGACCTTGGCTAGAAAGCCGTAGTTGTCTGATAACTGGCACTGATGATACACATCCATAGCTATGCGTGTACATTTGCAGAGCTCCAGACAGTCCAGCAGCAAATCTGTAACAGTTATCAACACATCAGGATCAACTTTAGGATAGAGAGCAGCCGAAAGCTCAGGGCTCATGTTTCACACCTGCTGCCCGGCTGCTCTTTAATTCTGTTTTCTGTTAATCTTGGAAGCTATCTGCGGTTTCAGGGCTTCCTGTGTTGCAAGCTGTAAGCAATAAAGGCCACGACTTCTATTTTTGTTTTTGTATACAGTCAGACTAGCAACTAGGGAGCAAGAAATGCTTGTTCTTACACGATGTTCCTCCTCACACAGACTGTTACCTGCGCTAAATTATGGCTAAATCCTTTTATATTACTACAGGTGGGTTCCAGGAAGTCTTTCAGCGGATTGCATACCACTGCCTTTTGCTCTGCACATGGACTGAGTGGGCAATAGCTGTATGCAAGAAAACACACACTATTAGACAATATTACTTTGCATATGTATGCAGAATCTGTAAATAAAGTTAGGTTGTTACTTCTTGAAGATGCTGACTGGCTTTAAAAACAGTCCAACTATTGCAAATATCTTGAAAATTATGATTTTATTTTTGTTATTCCGCTGTTTGCCTCTAAAACTGGACAGAGGGTAAATTTTAAATCATGTTTTATCTGCAAAAACATTTTATTTTTGCCACTGCACAATCTCAGCAAATCAACAAGGATCCAAGGTAGATGAAATTCTTTGAGCATTATAGTTTAGTTGATCTGCCTGAAGGAATTGCAGGAAGTGGCAGAACACATTTAGAGTAGCAGCAAAAAAAAAGAAAGCAATTCAATCCCCACTCTCTCTCTCTGATGTCCTACTCTATTCATCGTCCTCTATAATAAAAGCAAAAAAGCCAAAAAATAATTCCCTAAAATTTTTACGAAACAACATTTTAAGTTTACACATGTTCCTCACCAGAGTGGCACACAGTGATGGCCTGACACGCCAGATTGTGGATGACTGCTGGCAGGTCCATGTCATCAGGAAGCACCATGGGAACGTCTGCCTCCAGCATCTGGCATAAGGTCATGGCAGCAGTAAACAAAACCTTCCCTGTGCTGGTGTTATAGTGATGTTCATACAGCTCACTGAAGACAACGGGAAAGAGAGCAAAGGAGAAATCTACCTTGAAAAACCTGGAATTAGAAATATAAAAAAGCATGCCGCAAAAAAGTTTCCCACACATGGATTCATTCAGCAGCACATGCAGACCTGAGGATCTTGAGGGCCTTGTCCACCTTGCCCACACGCAGAGCTCGCAGGGCCAAGTCAGACCAGAGCTCCGGCTCTGTGCGCTGCAGCTGCCTCCCTAGACGACGTAAGCCAGCTTCTGTAGAGATAGTCTTGGTTTTGCCATCAGGATCATTAGCCACCACTGGAGTGGCTGTGGCCTTTGCTTTAGAAGGACGGCGGCCTCGTGTGTTTTCATAGGCTGTGATGTGATGCTCCTGGATCTGTTTTTGGATGTTCGGATCCTCGTAGTTGGAGGGGGTGAAGAAAACTTCAAAGTCCTCCTGGAAAAAAACGAAACAGAGAAAGAGGTTGAAGGTAAAAAAAAAAAAAAAAGATTCAGGAACAGCTGGAAACACTTTCAAAACAGTGTCTCTATAGGAAACTTACTTGTAGGTGGGCGATGGCCTTGAACATGATGAGGTTGTTTTCACACTCCATGCTTTTAAGAACATCATCTGCAGAGGACATGAAACCAGGTCTCACTATAAACTGTGTTTACAGTCTGGTGTCTTTGAATCATTTCATGAATGAAGCTCACTTCAAACCCTCTACAGCAAAGAGAAGGACTTACGTTTTTGAATGATATGCAGGTATTTCAGAACCTCCACCATCACCTGAGCTATGACCATCTGGTTCTTCTTGTGCTTTTGAAGACAGAACAAGACAAAGTTAAGATGTACAAAATACCAGAATGAATTATTACTCACTAAATGTTGTTATTCTTTCAGATCCTGAGGTGAGGATTTGTATGTATGTTGGCATGTTTGTGATACTACAAGTTGTTTAAGCATAATAATAAGAGTTCAATCTTGGTGCAAAGGGAAAGGCACATCTCTACTAATCCGTCGAGGGGCAAATTATTTGGAGCAGCTTGTAGAAGCAAGACATAAATAAGACACAGTGACGTACAGACAACAACAAATTAAAAGAAAGAGCTAAAAATATGAAACAGAATGAATAAATAAACCAGCTGAATAAAAATGATAAAAGGATCAGTGTAATTAAGGGATAAAAGGATAAAACGTTTGCATTTAAATACAAAACCCAAGGTGCATTTAGTTATCTAACTGCAGATAAAGCATAACAGCATCAAGATCGCAAGAGCAAAAATTCACTTAGCAATGACCAGAAAAAGAGAAAATAAATTCTGCTTTTCGTTTTGGCTACAAAAAGAATTAAAATCTCTGTTTCAAAGCAGAGTTTCAATATGCAACCTGTTGCTCAAAAAAACAAGCTTTAGTGATTAAAAATAACTTAAAATGCTCTCCTTACCTCATCTGATATGTGACGTTTGTCCTCCAGCTGCAGCCGAGCCCACGATGTGAGACGCTCGATCACACACTCTGCTTCTGCAGAGGACAGCTTCTTCAGGACAGTCATGCAGTCCTCAGTCTGAAAGCAGCAGAAAATACATTTTTTTTAAGTATGTCATATATATATATATATATATATATATATACCTTTTTAAGTATGTCATATAATGAAAAGAGACAACGATCAGATATGAATGTGAGAACAAACCTTTCCGAGGCCAATCAGCTGGATGAGGTACAGGTAATTTATCTGCGAGGTGGGAAGTTTGTAAGCTTCAGCTAAAGTCAGGGAGTCTCCTAAAGACATGGGCAGGTCTTGCTTCAGGATGTATCTAATCAGAGTCTGTGGAAGATATGCAGTTTGTGACTAGAAGATCAAAAGGAAACACACAGCTGGAGTCAACTCAAACATCGAATCCAAATTACCATAACTTGAGTACTGTTAGAGAGGTTGAAGTTCCGGATCCCGTATCCTCTGAGAAGTTTCCTGATCTCCATCAGACGGTAGCTTTCCTTTAAAAGCTCTTGTCTAGTGAATATACGGGGCAAAAGAAAGTTATATAGACGCTTATATAACCACATGTTTAAATATCAATAAAAAAGTGAGGAAAACGGGAACATACTTTGGTCCGTCCATCTCCAGGTACTGCTGAACCAGTTTTTCTATCACATTACTCCAGGGCACCACAGCTTTCTGCATGATCTCCAGCACAGCGTCCACCATCAGCTGGCAGTAAATACAATAATGTTAGATGGAAAGAGTCAAGTCTTTAAACCATCTTACTGTTGCTTTTATGGCGGGTTTCCATTGCAAATATTTGTGCTCTTAAAGCTTACGTACGTTACAAAATGAGTGAGTGCAATGGGGTCAAAGAACCACATATTTGCAAGGGAGCGCCTGAGCTCTCATGTCTTGAAGGTTCCTCAGGATTTTTGGTGGGGACAGCCTGCTGCTACGGCTCTATACAGATAATGATTGATTGATTGATTGAAAGAAACTTACATCTGTGTCAGACATGCAGCCGAGCACTGCCACCGCTTTGGCTTCCCATTCTGTGAAAAGCGTTGTCGTCTGAGAGCTGCAGCGCTCCAAGAGATCCTAGTGAAGGTCAGATTGAGAGGGAAAAGTCGTCTTATTCATTCTGCACTTTTGGTATTTTAATCAGTCCCCCCCCCCTCCCTCCCCAGTTGGCTTAGCAGTGATCTTGTTTTACCTTGATGTACTGTAGGAGAAGCTCGTCAAGAGGAATCTCGTGCTCTTCAGTATACGGCAGGATACTGCTCTCCACTGTGGCGCCAATCAGCTCTGGCGCCGGCACTTTATCCAGCATGAAGAATGCCACACTGCGTACACTTCCCTGTCAAAGTCAGTTCAATTTGTATTAATAACCAACTTAAAATGCAGTCGGAAAAACATCAGTGATAAACATGTTCCCAATGATCCCAATACAGTTTAATTCATGGATACACCTCCACAAAGCAAGGGTGGGACTAAATATGGATAGAGCAATATACTGCTGTCCTAATTCGTGTGGTACTAATTATCCAATTGCTGGTGCCCATATCAAAATTTTAATACAAAGGCACAAAAAACATGATACTTTGTAAAGGTTTTTCCTGACAATTTGACTCCAGGCAGTGGCGCTTATGATCTTAGTGAAAGTAACGTTAACGTGAGTTAATTGCAGTGTTTCCCCCTAGGTGTCTCACTTAGGCGTCCCTGGCAGCGGGTACTGGGTGGGGTGGCGCCTGAACTCAACAAATCAAAGACATTTTATTTTTTCCTTTTTACAGTTTCTTTGTTTTTTGTTTTTAACAGTCCATTTTCTTTATAAGGTTAAATATTATACAATGACATATTTTAGATTGACTACTATTACTCTAAGAAGTAGATATGAATAGTGGGAACAGTAAAAGTTAATAAATGATCCTTTGTGTGCATGAACTCAAACTTCATGACACCCCTGCAAAAGTCGGGGCCCCGGTTGGAAAAGTCTGTATTCGCCCATGCTAGTGAAACTAATGTTTGCACACACATTCTTACATTCCTATAGTATGTTTTGCCTTCCTTTCGGATGGGTGGGGATCACATTGGTTGAAGAAACACTGAATAACAGGGATAACACCGACAGCGGGATAATGTCAGACAAAGGTGAAAAGAAGGGTGAAGTGGTAAGAGGTGAAATTGACACCAAATTACAGTAGATAAATACATTAAGCCTGCACTTTATCTTTTCACAGCTATCTTGTATTTTTCAATTAATCAGTTTATTATGTTAAACGTATATGATAGTCCTGCAATGAATCAATTATCTCAGATTCACTTGATCTTAGTATAGTTGTAATTAGGACCACTTATAGGCTATCGTATCACAGCATGAGTTCCCCTGTAACATCATCAATCATCATCTTTCCCACCCCTAATGTAAACTAGAATGTCCATGAAACTCCTCTGACATCTACAGACAACCTTTCATTTTATCAATACTTCTGCACTTGTTTTCTTGCTGGTGATATCAGATATTGGTTTGAATCTCTTATATACTTGTGCATTATAAAATGGGTTTTTCATAAAAGACAAACCTTCTCAAAGACTGAAAGGGAAAGTCTGCAGTTGTATTTGTTGTGCAGGTCCAGGAGCTGACGGAGGTGAGTCACCAGGGACTTCAGATTCTCCACCTCTTTGGAATCATAATTATCCTCCTTAAAAAGAACAAATTAAAACATAGGTCAGGGTAGGTAATAGAATGCCAAAGTAACTGCAGTTTCATCGCTATCCCAATAAAAATACTTTATTTTAAGTCAGAATTTATCAGTTTTTTATAAGGACAAGGAATGCTTCTCACTCATGTTTACATTTTACTGTGATTGGTTCGGCTCAGCCTGTAGACCATGTGGTTATATGTCAGTTGCATACAAAAGCTGGACATGTAATTGCACTATCATCCAAAGCTCGTCCGATAAATCAGCCAGCCGATAATATCCGCCCATATTAGCATATCCAGTGACCATCGGTATCTGCTAATTTTATCACAGATATGCGCCGATATTACTCGATTAATTCACCAGTCAAATAGCGTTTCATTTGAGTTTCATTGTATTACACTAGCAGTTCTCTTTCTGGCTGTCACCAGCAGAGTGTGCTATCTGGATTACACCAAGCATCCTCACTCCCCAGAGTGATGAGCCGAGTGATCATCTTGTTTACATCTGTCATGTCTTTCTTCACCACGAGTAAGGCCGAGCACCGTGAGGTAATTCATTTTTTATTACTTTTTATTGTCATCATGTCTTAACATACAGTACACATATTTTATATTCAACATAAGGATGACAATATTTTTCATTTTTATAAGTGGTGTGGTGTCAAAAAGGTTGTGTCCCCCAGTGATGTGGAAATTCTAAAAATAACACTTGAATTACAGTTGTTTAAAGTAGCTTGAAGTAAAACTGAGGTAGCTTGGATCTGTGTTACATAAATTCATGAATTTCTCCCTCCTTTAAGGTTTTCTTCCCTTTCTCTACGATATTTAACATCTTTAGGAAGGGCAAACAAACAAATTAGTGATACCGTGAGTTAATTCAGGGTCAGGATTTGACTCTAAAAAGTCTCTTCCCTGAGCTTTAAGCTTCCAAGGTCCAGAGATAAATCATAACTGTGAAGGCACAGGCAGAAAGAGAGAAATACTTACAGATCTTATCCAGGTCCATAGAGAGGGAACTCCAAGCATTGCCATGTCCAACCCGTTCCGAGGCCAAGCACCCTTCAAGAAGATTTAAAATCATTGGTTAAACACTTGTGATTGATATTTTCAGTTAATTAGACTCATAACTGAAAATATAAGCCAAAGGAAGTTCATTTATTTATCACATTCAACAACAAGATAATTCAAAGAGCTCCACAAACAATATCAAAACATCATGACAAAGGGAAAGAAAAAGCATGTAAATGAGTGAACGACTGATGAGCAGAGCTTCATTATCCAGTAGTGTAATCTCTGCGTGCAATACTTTTCTCAAGCCATCAAAAAGCATCTAGAAATCTAATAATGACTATCTTGTCATGCACACGTAGAAAGTCCTGGATTTACTTAAGAGTAGGGTTTCTGGTTTTTTTCTGTACCTTTTCCGTTAACTCCAGATTCCTTGCCCTCTGCTCCAGCCATCGAGCCAGGAGTTTCTACACAGACATGAACACAGAACTGTTAACAAGCTCTGTATGGAGAGGACGGCATTGATTGAGGTTTCAGAGGATAAATCCTACCTGTCCTGTTGGAATCACTCTTCTAACGAAAGGCACAAAAACAGTCCTGAACCAAGGACAGAGGTGTTGAGAAGGCAGGTCCTCTGGGATGGCACCGAGCACGGCCTCTAGCGTGCTCTCATTGAACTCTGCAGCAATTTGTCCCTGTCACAAAAAACAGCAGCACACAGAAGGGTTGTCATGACATCAGAATTTTTAACTTCGATATCGTTCTAGTAGAAAATCAAACCATACAGATACCTGTACAGGGTGAATATGAATCAGAGCCCGGCCGACATTAACATATCCAGTGACTATTGGTATCGGCTAATTTTAATCGCAGATATGCGCCGATATTTCTCGATTGATTCACCAATCAAATAGCTTTGCATTTGAGTTGCATTGTATTACATTAGCAGTTCTCTTTCACGCTGTCATCAGCAGCGTGCGCTTCATGGATGACAACAATTATCATCACTCTCTCCGGAGTGTGAAGCGGAGATGCATGTACATGCGCCTTTTCTTTCCAGTTGAGTGACCATCTTGTCTTCCTCGTATATCTTTTCCACAAGCGCTTGATTAGTGCATTTGAGGGATCAACACCATAAATGTGTATATCTCTACAGATCTAAGACAGAAACCGGCCGATATTTGGCATCAGTTTTTTTTTTTCCTACTCAATATCGATATTGGCCCAAAAATCCCATATTGGTCGGTCCCGAATATGAATGAATGAGTTTTTTTTGTGTCTGGTAACTAACATGACCCATCCCAGCTGAAAATCTATCAAACGTTCCAGATACCAACACCCCCCCACCCCCAACACAAGGCGCTACACACTGATACAAACAAAACAAAAAAACAAATAAGAGTATTAAGTCTGTACTGTTACCACGGCAATACAAAAGAAGAAGTCCCTCGGTACATTAAGAACTTTCTTGTTTTCACTTTAAATCACACAAATATGTTCTCAATTTTTCTGTACTTGAATGTTGCCAACGTATTTGTCCAGTTTGTGCAGTGTGTAGGAAGTTGCTCGCAATTTTTGATGGATTTATTCCCCTCCTGAGCACCTGTCTTAGAAACAAACGTAGATTTCTCTAAGGCATAGAAACTTATTGATACTATCGATCACTAAAGTTCCTACAGTAATTTTAATGACCCACAGGGTAGGCTAACCCGTGCTTAGCCAACCTACGTTCCAGGGTGCTGCTCCCACTTTCAATCACCAATGAGTGTTGTCTCGCTGTGTGTAGGAGTGCATTACTGTAAGCTTCTTCTAATCTGCACCTGTGCTGTTTGACTCTGAGGAAGAGGAAGTGCGTTGAAACGTTATTCCTTTATACCTAAATAAATTGAGTAAAGTGATTTGTTTGCTCCGATACTTTCTTTGGATCCTGTCTAAGAGAAGGAGTCCACTGAATTACTTTGGACATAAAGGGATGATGTTTAAGTGTTTATTCTGGTGAGTGCATGAAGCTGTTCTTTACCTCATATCGGAGCCAAAGGAGTTGTGCACCCTTCATGTCTCCTTCCCTCAGGTGGGTCAGAATGTCTCCTAGGTCATCAGTGCTGTTCAGAAACTCGATCCAGGCGATGCCACTGAGGATGATGGAGGAAAAAAGAACAAAAAAAATCACACATCAATGTAAACAATAAACAACCCTCACTTTAGAAAATTACATTTAAAAACACAGGAGGCCACGTAGACTTAGAGTTTACTTGAAATGTTCTGGGCCGTGCAGGCTGCAGAAGGTTGCCAGTCTAGCTAAAGCCTCCTGGATTTGTAGCGATGAGTATCGTGTGGCAGCGTGGTTCAGCATCTTCTCTGCCGTCTCGAACGTCGGCCACGGAGCTTTGAGGCAGTACTCCACCACGTAGTGCTCATCCTAGGCAACACCATTTATTGACCTCTATTATTCAGGGGTTAATACTCAATATGTCTAACTCAAGAAGACGTTCAGATGATTCATGTTGAGGTTAGACTAAAAAATAAATAAAACATTTTTTAATAGTTAAACTGACCGTGATCTTCATCAGGTTGGTCTTGGCCTCCTCCACAAGTTCAGACCATACATCCTGTCCATAACCTCCCACTGACGCAGACGCCAGCTGCTCCAGCACAAAGTCAAGCTTCACCTTGTAAACAAGCTGAACAAAAAGAAAACTGAAGTTTATCATGTCCACAGAGAGAAGTGTAAATCATGTATTCCCCAGAGATGCCCTTCTTGTGTTAAGATCTCTTAGTTTAAAGGTCACATATTCTCCTCCTTTTCAACCAGTTTAAATAAGTCTCTGAGCTCCTCAAAACATGTGTGTGAAGTTTCTTGTTCTAAATCCACTCTGATCCTGTATTTGATCATGTCTATAAACCCCTCTATTTCAGCCCTGCTCAGAACAGGCTGTTTCTGTGTCTGTACCTTTAAATATGTAAATGAGCTGTGTCTGACCACGCCCCCTCTCTGGAAGGGCTTAGGTGGCTTTGGCTTTCTTATACCAAGCCCTTTACAGTGAGAAGGCAGACTCAGAGGGCAGAACAAACACCTAGCTGTGGGAGTGTCACCCACCTGGAGGAGGGGTTACTGCTCTTTGTGATGTCATGAAGGGAAAATCTCCAAACGTAACATAATGGGGTGTTTGTAAACAGACTAGGGACATATATGAGACACCTGTATTTACATATATGTGTATCCCATTTTGCGTTCTTTTTAAATAGAGACGCATCATTCAATTGTTTTTGCTCTATTTAATATAACACTATAAAAAGGGGAAAAAAAGATCACTCTGGAAGCTGTCTCACCAATGATTATTGTAAAACCATTTTTAATACAGTATGATTGGAAGTAAAGAAATATAAATCCTAAAATCTCTTTCTTCCCAGAATAACACATGAATACATATTTTATTACAGTGTACAATAAGGCCGAGATAGACAGACGGGTTAGACACTTACCTCTAAATCCAGCTCAAACGCAATGGCAAACTTTCAGCCTCTTCAAACATATGTTTGTGTAAAAGTCTGCTAAGTCTGTGAATCAAAGAGAAGTCCACGAAGTCAAAATAATCAAAATAAATTAAATAAAATGGAAGAAATGCATCCAAATAAAGTGAAGTACCTGTTCTCTGGCAAAGCCTCTGTGAAGCATCGCACGACAACAGAGGATATCGGCTCTCCTCGACTAAAACAAAAGAAAAACAAAAAGGCCGCCTACTATGTTAAAACTTTTATCACATTCTTAAGTAGTTAATGAGCAGGTGAGGAAAGCAAACTTGAGACTTGAGAAACAGCACGTCTGTGGAAGAGCATGTTGGCTCCAAATCTCACTTAATAAATCCTTCAAACGGGAGCTTCTTGGTGCGCGGCTCTTGATTTGCTTTCTTTACCTATTGTTTTTTTTTGAGGGATGCGTGTATTTTTAAAAAATGTTCATCATTATTGAGCAGCACATCAAAAATAATACATTTCCTACCTTTCTGGGTTCTCACAAATGCCTTCAACTAAATAAATGGTATCCTGAAATCAGAGAGTAAAATATGTTACTTAAATATGCAGACATGTATTTATTTAATGCATGAACGATCCATTTACCACTGTAATAAGTGTTGATTGTTTACCATGTTTATTTTAGTCTGGACGAGACAGGAGACTGAAGAGACATCCAGAGAGTAACAAATGGTCATCCACGGCAGGAATCTTATTTGCAGTGAGTTGATCTGAAAAATCATAAAGCTTTATGATTCTGAGTTCAGAACAGCCTCGTGAAAATCACATATCACAGTTCTTTAAAAGTGTTTGTACAAATACCTGAGAGTTTTCTTGTTTTGTCAGTGTAATCATCCTCATGCTGCTTTTGTCTTGGCTGTGAAACAGATATTTCATCATTATTTGAGTCCCAGTTCTCTGTATAAATCACAGCTGTAGTAGGTTTTAAAACACTGATACATACATGGAGGCTGAGTCGCACTCTGTGGTCAGTTCAAAGTCATGAACAACCAGATCGGGCCAGCAGTGAATCATCACCAGGAAGTGAAGGTCCCAAAGACTCAGAGTGTCCTTACCCAGACGAAAAGAAAACAACAAAAAGAGGCTCAAATACTTGTCCAGATGTGTATCACAGCTTCAAGTGAGAGCACAGAACTCACCTCACTATCAAGAACATACAGGAGATTTTCAACAACCACCATCTTCCTCACTCCTTTAAAACATAGAAAGAGAAAATATTAAACAATCGTCACACAATCTTTTCCAACAGGCCTTTTAACTTTGTGCAACTGTTTCAAGTTGTGTTTCTATTCGTTTTACTTTCTCTTTTACCTATTAAAAATTACAATCAATAAACAAGAAGACATAGAGAATAAAATAGAAGCAAGTGAAACAATTGCTGAGAGGTTATGATCTGCTAATTCGTTGCCACCTGTTCAGTCAGGCTTCGCTGCTCCCACTGGCCAATCAGCAGCTGGGAAGCTCAGTTATAAAACGCACACTCATCCTCTCTCTGTCAGTCTTTCTGTGAACAGCTCGTGTTGCAGGTTAAAAGGTTTGTGGTGAGAGTTTGGACCTGGGTAAGTTAGGTACCTCTACATTTATCCATTCACATATTCGACTTATGTTAGACACACTCTGTCAGTGTGGTTTGTAGGTTTGTGCCAGCTTTGTTCTTTTTTCCATGACTATTTTCTAAAGAAGCCAGTCAGGTATTTTATGGTTTTCTTTTTATTCCTTAGAAGTAGTACGTAGTCGGGCCCTGTTTGGTTAAGTTCATTCATCTGAAAGATCTGTGTATGATTGTTTCAGAGGTTTTTTTGGTACCATGAACTCCTTTGATTGCACCTCTACATTTCTTTGGTTGTCTTATTATGTCACTGCATTTAAAATAACATAACATTTAATAAAACAAGATGAATAAAACATTACAAATATTACATGAAGGCTTTTTGATAAAAACGTCTTTAAAAGAAGAAACTGATGTAGTTAGATCGTTCCATAGCCGCAGAGCCGGAACCGCAAATGCTCGGCCTCCTTTGCTTGTAAGGTTTGATAACACATTACTGTGTGTTGCTGTTTGTTCCAAAAACCCTGAGCCCATTAATTTGTCTCTTATTTATGTTAATAAGATGATAATAAATCTTCAGGAGTTGAAAGGGCATTTAAACAGTGTTTAGCTTTATACTGTGCATGAAAGCAAGAGAGTACCTGGAATTAAGCCACCGCTGACAGACTGAGCGAGACGCATCTTGGCCTGATGAGGGTCCATCCTCCAGTGAGTCAGGACATTTTCTTTATTGCCCTGTGAAGAGAATAGTGTTATAAAAATCTACACCAAGACATACAGGATGCTTTTCAATCTCTCCAACATTTCCAAGAAAGCTTTTACTGAAAACCATTCATCAGAATTAAAGGAAGAATGTGCAACTCTTTGATCCAGTAGATGTCACCATCTTGAGCTCCAGCATGAAACCAAAGCAAACTGCTGTTTGGTGACACCTCCTCTATTCTGAAGCCTCCGCTCTCCTCCAGCGACACACCTCCAACCCCTCTCCACTCACGTTCACATGAAGGAGTTATCAATTAGAACGCACCATAATTAAGCACCATTTAGAGCAAGGGTGGACAAAATTGTCCCTTTGTTCGAGCTGTAATCACCTGTGTCATGCATTGTTGTGTTAGCATGCTAATGTTAGCACACTTTGGTTAACTCATAGCTTCACATTGAACATAAATTGACACAGAATGACCGTGAACTTAAAACACTTACTGACATCCAAATAATCAGTGAGTATTCTTCTTCTCTCTCGTCTCTAAAAAGCTTTATACACAAGGCTGTCCCGTCCATGTAAACATGATGTAAACACAGCTCTGACAACAAAACAGCTGGTGGGACTCACGCTTTTCACTCATTGTAGACAGTCATGACTCAGAGAGATCTACTTGATTTCTGCTGTATTTATGTGTAAAATGTCACTCATTCTTCCCAACCAAAGTCCCAACAGACTGAGCGACTGTCGCCCAAACGTTAGCATATTCAACTTTCTAAACATGACTAGTTAATGAAGAAGCGAAATAGAAAATGTGTGATTTTTTTTCAAGCACCGTAATGACACAGTAACTCACTTTTACCCAATGTATCATAATTACAGGCGGTGAAAGACACTGACCCCGATCACCAGGTGGATTTCATGGCCCAGACTGAACATGACCGCTGTACTGCAGCCCTCGTCGTGGTAATCCTCGGTGGAGCAGAAGTCAATCTTGATTTGAGACTGGAGCTGAGTGTGTGGAGAGGTGGGATTAAATTCTGCTTATCAGAAAATAAAAATGAGCACACTAACAGAAGAAGGGCTCAACTAACCTCTTTCAAAGATCCCACGTCCATTTTCTCTACGGCTGCGATGACAAAAACAGGAATTAATGCTTAATTTGGTCAACAATGAGGCTGCGATTAAAAAAAAAAAATCTTTGATACCTGTCTCGATCTTTGCCAATGCAAGATTTGAGATGTGGAAAAACCCGTCCTTTACGAGAAGAAACACATTGTATATCCCTGTTGATAAAAACATAACACATATTACCATTATGTCACACCGACAAAACCATGCAGAGCAACGATTCAGAGAATAATCCTCAAACACAGACGGATCAGATTCTTAATTCCTTCATGGTACGTTGCATTAAACGTGGCTCATAAAAAAAAAAAAAAAATTGGTACAGAGTTTTCTCAGAATCATATAAAAACGTTTACCTTCAGAACCCTCGTCCTTCTGCGTGAGGAGATAGCGGTACGTCTTATCGTCCCCACTAGATGGTTTCTCTACCAAAGCCTAAAAAAGAAGAAGCTACATCTTAATGTAGGTAATGAAATCCATGGGGATTATTACAACTGGTGACATCATCAAAGCCGTAGGTGAAATCAGGCAAACATTTCATGGACAAACACAGGCTACACTTGTAGTGTGCCTTATAAACACTCTTACCCTGGTGAGAAGGATTCTCTTGTGGGGGACATAAATCAAATGAAGGTTGCCATTCCTTTCACAGACCACCAGAAACTGTCCGTCCAGGCACACATCAATTGCGTCCACATCGGTTTCTGAAAAGTATGTGACTCATCAGTCATCATTTACAGAATCCTATAGAATCAGTTAAATTCATTATTGTCAATAAAAATATATTTCAGTAGGTATTAAGAGGGGGTGAGATTTCAATATCTGGTTACATTGTCTGATTTGTGTATTTATTTTTTCTGGTACGATGGCTGTCTTTTCGATCTTTGACCTGCCGCTTTGCATTGTGGGAAACCATAAGCGAGTAGCCTGATGCATACTTCAAGTATTCCCAAGTATTTTTGGCACTCTGAGGATCTTGCATTTGTTCACATACTGCATTATGGCCAAGTCAGTACATAGTGAAGTATAGTCGGCGGTTTTGAAAACAGCCTGAGAGTTTATTGAACCTTCCTCTTGACCGATTGCAAACAGTGAGGCAGAGATGAGAGAGGAACATACTGAGATGATGCATACCAAAGTGAAGCAGCAGCAGGATTGTTTGATAGCTCTGATCAAACAGGATAACAGTCTTGTCAGCAACAACAATACTCCAGTTTGACCCACTGGAGGAGGAGAGACTGGGGTCTGCCTGTACCTGAAAAAACAAAAACAGCATTACTGTAAAAATCAGCACCGTAACTAGTGTCCACATTGATAGATTAATAGGGCTTTTTTAACCATCCAGACCGCTCAGATCATCTGGGACAGGTTTGCTCTCTGTCCCCAGATTCAGAACCAAACACTGAGAAGCAGCGTTCAGTTTCTATGCTCCTTATATCTGGAACAAACTCCCAGAAAACTGCAGATCTGCTGAAACTCTCAGCTCTTTTAAATCCAGGTTGAAGACACACCTGTTTACAGCTGCCTTTCATTAAACAGCTTTAATAAAATTTTAAATTTTGCACTGTAACTTTTAACTCTTTCTATATTTTTTTCTTCATTTATTTTAATTAATTTCATTTGAATTATTTTTATTTGAACATATTTTCAGATTTAATAATTTCAGTGATTTTTAAATGTTCTATTTTAATGTTTCTTTTCTTTCCTCTGTCATGATGCGTTTGATGTCTTGCGTGAAGCACTTTGAATTGCCTTGTTGTTGAAATGTGCCACATAAATAAACTTGCCTTGCCTTTATTGTCAGAGAGGTGCCATGTCACTTCCTGAGTACTGCCGAGCGCCTCTGAGCAAGGCATCCAATCCAAACTTTTTTTTATAGAGCACAATACAACAGAGTTGACCAAAGTGCTTTACATCAAATAGAATGACAATAGACAAAGCCAACACCTGGCTAACACCAACATAAAAGATCATTACGACAGTCGAGGCGAGTTGAGATTAAAGCATGTATAACCCTCTCGAGGTCATTAAAAGACAGAAAAGGCTTAGATCTTAGACAGTTGCTTCAGCTGGAAGAAGATAGATTTTACAACAGAATTAATCTGGCACGCTGCCTGTGTAGCAGCCCAACTCTGACATCTCTCCATTAATACATGTCCATAGATCCTGTTTGTGCATGTGTGTGTGTAATACAGGTTTATTTATGTGTGTGAGAAGCATGTCTGTAAATTACACAGGGGGGTTAATACAGTATGTAGAAGAAGGTGGGTGTAACAGTGTATTGTACTACAGTAGTCTTTTTTCAACCTCAGAGGGAAAAGATAACCCCATAAAGTCTCACTAAGAGTCGTGTTAATATTGACATGCATTACCTCAGTGGCAGTGGAGATCTTGACCAGTGTGTCCACCTGGTACAGGCCGCTCCCACTCTCCTCCCTCGACACACCGCCGAGCCGGACAGTGTTTGTGTCCTCGTTGGTGAGAAGCTCCACGTCGCTCCACATCGCCATTTCACAGAGCTAGACACATGGAAAAAGAAATGTCAGTCTCAATGTCATGTTTTTAAGGTGTTAAGGCTGTAAACTCCCCTCGTTGTTGCCATAGTGATAACAGAGATAGAGTTACGAGACTAAACACGATTAACTGCTTATATCAACGGAAACATTTGTAAACTTGAAGAATACAAAGTAGATAAATAAGTTAGAATAGACAGTAACTCACCTCGTATATTATTATAGTGTAATATCCAGACAGTTTACATTACAACAAGGGGAACAGCATCACAACAGTGTCAACTTTATAGTTTGGCGGTTCTTCTTCTTCTTCTTCTTCGTGGTGCTTAATAACGGTTTGAAAACAACGTTAAGGTGCAACAGCGCCACCAACCGCTGTGGCGTATGAATGAAAGACAACTAATTCTACACACGATTTAAAAATCTTCTATAAATAAGGAATGCAGCCAAGAAGGCAATTACATTGAACTGGCTTAAGAGAGACCCCCCCCCCCCCCCCCAACCAACGAGTCTTGCAAATTAGTTGTAAAAGGCATTTACATAATGGAAAAGATAACTTTCAAAATAAGACTGCAAAATGCAAAATTCCTTGACAGATGGTTTCCATGGCAACATGTGATGGAGGATGATTTAGATACAGGTTGGCAAGGGAAAATGTGGTGATATGTTTAATTTAATAAAATATATGATGAATAGGGGATGTATGGAAACATTATTTTGGTTGCAGAAGCTGAAAGTAAATCATGGTTATGTCTTTGGTGATGTGTGTGTCACTTTTTTGTTTTGGGTTTGTGTGTGTGTTTTTTTTTATGTGGGTTGCTTTTTTGTTGTTGTTATATTCTTCAAAAAAATAAAAATAAATGAATGCAAAAAATAACGAATACAATATTACCTTTACACGTGTTATTGTTATTCTCATAAGACGTTTAACTAACAATAGGAGACACTTCAAATTTAACACATCTGTTTGATATTGTAGTTGAGTTTTGCCTTCGAGACATATTACAACAATTAGTAATATTTACTGTCTATGATTGACTGTTTGGATTGCAGACATGTAACATGTAAAACATAACACATATTCATAACGGATGGATTAAGATTATGTTAGGTGGGGATTATTTCTGTAGTAGATGGTCAATGATGAAAACGGAAACAGACTGTGGATCATTTTAGGATTTATTCAGCCATGGTCAGACAACACAGAAACACAACAAAGTGACAAAGTGCGGACCATCGCTGACCCATGCTGACCAAGATCTCACAATCGCTGGCAATCATTGGCAAAGTGGCAAAGTCTTCATCACACAGTGTGGCTTATATTCTGCTAGAAGGTAAAGCCCACAAATTCCTTTCTATTTGGGTACATCACTATAAAACAATAAACATGATATGACACTGATTTGTATACGTAACAGATGTAGACTCTTTGTCTAGCAAACAGTTGTTGACAACATATGGTTGGCTCCTATCCAAACATAGATCTGCTACAATTTACATGTTTCACCATATAAGGTTACAGCGTCACAGACCCAAAAGAAGAATTTCCCTTAGATGGTTGACACAATTTAAAGATATGTCCACAAAATTATTAAGATGAATGAATCCATGAAACTACGTACTAACAGATTACCAATGGTGGATAATATAAATACAAGACTATGTTGATTGAAACATTCATTGGTGGGGTTGTTGGAAAATGAATTCCATAAATCAAAAAAACAAAACAAACAAATAAATCAGGTGATGTGAACATACCAGACTGTAAATGTGGAACATACAAAATAGCACAAGAGGGCAAGGTAAGAGACATTAAAGGTAACATATTAACCTCTTTTTCCAAAAAGTTTAATTAATCTCGGAGCTCCCCAAAACATGTCTGTGAAGTATCTTGTTCTAAATCCACTCTGATCCTGTATTTGATCATGCCTATAAATCCCTCTATTTCAGCCCTGCTCAGAACAGGCTGTTTCTGTGTCTGTACCTTTAAATTTGTAAATTAGCTGTGTCTGAAGGGCTTGGGTGTCTCTGGCTTTCTCGCTCCATGTCCTATTGTTTACGGTGAGAAGGCAGACTCAGAGGGCAGAACAAACACCTAGCTGTGGGAGTGTCACCCACCTGGGGGAGGGGCTACTGCCCTTTGTGATGTCATGAAGGGAAAATCTCCAAACAGTCTGTTTGAGCACACATTTTCTGAAAAGTGGAGCAGACAAAAGACGGAGAGGATGGACTTTTCTCATTATTGGGGGGTTTGTATGCAGACCAGGGACACATATAAGTGGTAGAAAAACTTCCTTAAGTGTATTTTGCATAACATGTGACCTTTAAAAGATCAAATATTTAGATACCCGGATAAAGTTTTTTGGCCTTTATTTCCATATAGTGAAATGATTTGCAGTAATTGACAAAATAACACATAAGCACAGAATATGAGGGGTTGATGCTACAGAACAATGCTGGAATGGAATTCACTCCCAAGTTATGTTAAACAACAAAGCACTTCTTAAAGAACATTATCTACAGAGAAACTTTAGTCAGTACTGATAGGACTACTGGGCCTTTTTTGTATAACCATGTTATGTCTTAGATGCTGTAAATCAGACGGAGCCTTGTGTTTGTCGGTTTCTCTTCCTTTTTTTTGTTAATTTATGTCAATTTTTAGTTATTGGAGAAATGTTGTAGAATGTTTGTGTAGTGTGAAAAGAATAATATATAATACAAATTTGTAAAATGTATTGTCACAATATAAACGGAGGAAGAATAGCTTCTCGCTATGCTGAAGCGAATGGGGATCCAAATAAAACAAACAAACAAAAACACCATTTACACGTATTTATATAATATTTACCCAAAATAATGATAAGGTTAACAATGTTTGAAATGATTAGGCTTATGTCCTTGTATGAAGATGTAGGAAGTTATCAGTCTTTAAAGACAACCAGCTTTGGACATCAGGCCAAAACGTTTACATGTACAAACAATCAAAAAAGTTTAATGTTTAAAGTTTAAGGTTATTTAAACCTTAACATTACATCAAGCTTTTATCCTCCTCACACAAAGGGGGCGGGGAAGAGCCTGGATGGTGGTTGCCAGGTTGGAAATCCTCTTTCTATTGTAACGTGGTTTAATGATATATCAACAACGTTATCTGTTGTGAGTAAAAGCACATTCCAAAAATCATTGAGATGTCGGGTTCTCCTAAAGTTAAAGAAATTTAAGCATTTAAAGATCATTCATATTCGATATAGGCTACATTGAAAGGATCCACTCAGAGAGGAGTGGGGCCCTTTCCTTTCTTTGCCCAGTTGTCCCTGAATGAATGATCCTGCTCTGTCCTACAGACGTTTATTTAGCCTATTAATACATTTTAATGTTATCATGTCTGACTTCCCTCTTCTCTTACTGAGATTTGCATAGGCTGAACAAGCTGACTGTTCTGTTTTTCCTATTTTCTTTTTTTTGTATATTTTTGTTTGTATGGAACCTTTTATAAACAGCCTATCTACCCATTTATCGTGCCCTTTTAATCCTTTACTGGTTCGTTTAATATGGGTTCACCTGCTCTGTTTTTCACCGCATTAGGGGGATTCAAGACGCACCTGGCAACCCAGATCATCCTATTCTGGCAACACACACTACGGCTGTTCAGCAGCTAGCTACTTCTCCGTGACCGTCTGCACGGTGACCCGACACATCCGCTTATATTCAACGCCTTCGAGCATTATGTCGGTAAGTACTATAACCTAACGATAAAGGACACCTACATCATTCTAAACAACGTGAATTCGAGTTTCTCAGTTGTCTGGAGATATGTTTCTCTCTCTTAAAGATGGCGGCTAGCTTAAGTTAGCTTAGCATCTGATGGTATGAATGGCGAGCGTCGTCGGGTTTAGCTAAAGTGGTTAGCATAGATGCTAACTTAAATTACATTGAGACTGGCTGATGTTTCTTTATTCTGCTCAGACTTTATTTGTGTCTACACAGCATCACCATGACATCCACCAGATGACCAGTCAGTGATGAACTAAAACAGTTCTGTCCTCGATGATGTCTACAAAGTGTTGTTATGTTTAGATTAAGAGGGGGGGGCAACTGGCGGCCCGGGGGCCACATGCGGCCCCCATCAACCCTCAACGTGGCCCCCAGGTTCATTTTTTACACATCAATGAATTGGAAACATGAAGAACACATGATGAAATCTGCCATGAAATCATGAAAACCAGAAATGTGTCCATGATAATATTTGATCACAGGTATATGTTGAGATAAATTTGAGACTGTAATCGTTTAATTTGGCCCCTCTGGCAGTGAGAATTAAATGAATGTGGCCCTTGCTGTCACAAAGGTGCCCATCCCTGGTTTGGATTAAGGCAGGGCAGTGGTGTAGTGCAGGAGTAATAGTATACACACTTAATTTTCAGTCACCAGAGGGTATAACTACCTCTAAATCCCCTCTGGGTCACACTATTATTGACGTTTATCTTCTGCTGGACGGGTCACTTAATAAAATAATTTGGGGTTAAAGGTTAAGAGTTTCTAAAGGCTTCACTACACCTCTGGATTTAGGCGACTGAAGTGTTGTCACATTCAGACTAGCTACATCAGTATCTTCTTTTAAATCACTTTTAAAAACACATTTTTATAATATGGACCAAAACTCATATCTCAATATTGATTAAAGTTGAAAGGCAATACTTGATATATATCACATTTTATTAACAGTGAAAACATGTGGAAAATAAACTACCTGTTTGTGAATTTAAAAGTAATATTATAAAATAAAAATGTTGCTTAAATACAATAAAAGAGAGAGAGAGGAGGAGCAGGTGAAGAGGGACAGACAGTCAGTCATCATCAGTGAGATGAGAAAAAGGTGACCTGGCACCTCTGTAACGTTATTTTAATGCAACATAAACTATATCCATATTGTCTTACCCGATATCTTGTTTGAAAAAATATCGATATATCTTAAAAACTCGATATATTTCCCAGCCCTAGTTTCATCCAGGATGTTTTTATTTGTTTTACTGTTAACTTTAGCCGATCTTTGTCTCAGTTGTTTCTCTTTTCTCTGTTAGTTGGATGATTGCTGCACTGTTGTTTTATTTTTCATGCTTTTAATAGGATTTTATTGTTGTGTATTTGACAGTTGGGATTTTTTCTTTTTTCTGTAACGTCCTCTGTGACGTTGGTTTTGATAAGTGCTTTATAAATAAACTTTATTATTATTATTTTAGAGCTTGTTGGTAGCTGCCTGACACCGATCACATTAACTCAATCTGACCAACCCTTAAACCCTCAACTTTAATCATCAAGAGCTGCATTTATTTATTTATCAGGGACAATACATTTAATTAGAATTTATTTATTTCGTAGGGACAATGCTAATTTCCAACTCTTCAGATTCAAAAAACTTTATTTATCCCAGAAGGGCAATTCAGTTTCACAACCTACCGAGCCCTTGAAAAACGCTAAGACAACATAAAGGAAACAAACACATCACCACAGCATTCAAACAGTTACATTCACATGTCAGAAACAACAATTCAACAGACGAATAGGTCGTCAAGTGAGAAAGCCAGCGCTATCAATCTACAATTTCCTAATACGATGACAGACTTGTTCAGCATCAATAGCCTGATAGCTGAAGGGATTAACTCTTGTCCCTATTTGGGCCCTGACCTATTTGTCAGGGACAATACATGCATGCATTGTTGCATATTATTCAAGTGAAACTGATGCAATGTATATAGGACTTCTAGCCATGGCTAATTTGCAGTATTTGTCCCTGGTTAGGCATTTAGGAAATAACACACATGATATAAAAACACTGTAAAATCGACAGACAAACAGACAGTTGCAGCAGACATAAGATACACAGCAACATAGATGCATAAAAACAAACAGTAAAGCAGACACAGACACGCAGATTGATGATGATGACTAAGAATAAGAATTAAGATAAGATGCATGAAGGAGAATAAAAGCAGCCTGATTAACATTTAGGTGAAGTAAGTTAGTTACCTTATTGAGTGATCAACCTACTATTTCAGCATAAGCCTTTCTTAGAAACAAACCTCATTGTAGTAAAAACAGATTCAGGATACAGTGACATGATGAAATCGAGCAGACCGTCATTGTTGGTGTGAATCTCATTTGAATTGAAAAGTTTGATGCAAGGAATCAGTACATAGTCTTAAGTCTTTATCATTCATCTCTATTTTTTAGCTTCATTCATATTAAGGTTTTCAAACAGGCTTATTTTAGAAACAGTTCAGGCTGCTTGCCTTGGGGAGGATAATTCAAACTAGGACATTGATTCTTGAGCATACTCTACCTCACTAATTTGCCCATGGTGTTTCTTTTTTTAATTCTTGCAGGCTAGTGACAATGACTCGGACGATTTGACCAGAACAGACTCCCCAGTTCATCACAGAAAAAAACACAGCATGGAGGCTTCTCGATCTCCAAGAAGCTCTAAACACCACCATTCACGGTCGAGGTCACGCTCCCGGGACAGAAAACGTTAGTATAAAGTAACATCACTGAACATGATATGTGTGGTATGAAATCATTTGACGCTGCATACACACTCGTGAGATTTCAGGCACCCTGTGATTGAGTCATAGAAACCTCATTCATCACAAACATGTAGTGTTGGAATTTGATAGATTTTTTTTTTTAATTCAGCCTCTGGACAAAGTCTACATTGTAATTTTAATTTCAAAGTTTCATCATAGAAAGGGTCATTTCCCAAACGACACAACTAACCATATCAAATGCTTCAGTGTATGTTTTTCATAATGTCTTCTTCTAGTTGTGATTTTTTTGTAAAGGTCAGTTATAACTGTATGACTCTCCTCTGCTGTTTCCAGGTGACAGAAAAAACAGACGGAGTCGCAGCAGGAGCAAGGAGGTAAATAAAACATTTATTTCTATGACTAGAAACACATTTGATGTGATTTGAAAGGTCATAAGTTGTAATTCTTGTTAGTTTTTTGGTCGAGGTGAGTATGTTTTGTTACATCATAAAAAGCTACAATAACCAAATTAAAAAAACAGAAGACATAGATGGGCTTGCTCAAATGGCGGGAGGTCTTTTTTGACCCTCCCACTGTTGACATGTCTCCTTCTATATCTCTCATCATTTGTATTTGCTATCTGAAATGGTGAAGAGTAGATTTTTTTTTTGTTAAATCCTGTGTGTAGATCACATGATAACATTTCTACAATAAATCATACTCAGCGTGCTAATGCACGAAGAGACTGAACAGAAGACCCTGCTGACATAGCAAAATAATATGTCTACTACTGGGACAGGTAACTATCTGCCATTCAAACTCTGTATGCCTCACACTTTTAGCAGAAACATGATCATTTACTCTTGAATCTCTTTTTAAGCAAGGGATGGGCATTATTATGCGAATGAAGCCAAAGAGGAACTTGAGTGATTATAAAGTTTTACCTGTCAGAGTAATTCATCCATATTTAGTTTGATGACCTATTCCGGCTCACCTGAGAAAACGATTCTGTGAAAATTTCACTAAAGATGTTGCTGAGGAAAGTTAGAACTGAAAAAAATAGAGGAAACATTTGTATAATGGATTTGTGTAATAAAGAAAGTGATTCTTGTTGTTTTATTTACATTCATTAATCGGCGTATGTGGTATGATTTCGGTGAGATAAATTAAGTACGTTGGATGCCCATCCCTAAGTCACCTTTGAGTGGGTTCAGGCTCAGAAATGTAGGCATCATTGAACTGATGTTGTTGCTAAATTGACAGTTTTCCCTGACTGGATTGGCACATTTAAGGTTTGCATGCAGACAGATTAAAGACCCAAGAGGTTCCAAACATTGCTTTGATTGATTCCTGTAATTATGTCGACATTTGTGTAGTGGAAAAACTCGAGCATGACAGACTTCTCACTCTTGCTATCATGGTTACAGAATGGTATCCTATAAATGTTATTTCAGTAGATTTGCAATGACAAGGTTTTTTTTCAGCCTCTCAAAAACGTATTACATACCTTCTGCTGTAAGCCATGGTACTAACTCTTTTTGTTGCACTATTTTCCTGAAAGAGACAACTTCTTCTTAAAACAGGCACGAAAGAGGGACTCTGAGAAGCCAGCCAAATCACACAGAAAAACAGACGAGCAGGAAGAGCCAGAGAGACTCTCCGCTGAGAAAGGCGAGGAGCGGTCCAGGCGCAAAGACAGAAAGCCCTCCAAAGGCCGAAGCGTGTCCAGGTCACACTCCAGAGAGAGGTCAGTGCCGTCATGGACGATGCGTCTCCTTGATGCTTTTGCTGAAAGCCTTATAGCTTTAAGTATCTCTATCATCATTAAATATACATTAGATCCTACTTTTATTATTGACAGTCAACACTTTGATATTGATCCTACTGCATTCAGGCGGCATCACAGCAAAAGTAAAGACAAGCGGCGATCGAGATCACGCAGCCGGGACAAGAAGAAGAAGGCCCGGTCTCGCTCAGGTTCAAGGACCAAACATCGTCATCACAGCAGAAGTCGCAGTAAGAGCAGGTGGGTTTGATCAAAGTGTTGAATGTCTTGCAGTGGTCAAGTGTTTGTGAACTTCTTTCTTGCAGTGGTTGCCACTCCACATTTAATTAACAGTATTTTCATTGTTTTTTTTAAAACATTTTTTCCCTCCAGAGAGCGAAAGAAGAGGAGCGAGAAAGTGCGCAAAAAGAGTCGCAGTACACCCGTTAATCCGCCTGCGTTCCGGGGCCGAAACACAGCAATGGATGCACAAGAGGCTCTGGCCAGGAGGCAAGACAACAGCTTACATGACATTTCAATACACCAGGGATTGGCTACTTCAGTTACCAAGAGGGCCACATTCATTCTGTTTACACTGCCAACTGAGGGCCAACTGGTTACAAACTGTAGGGAACTCTCAGTGAGACGAGTAAAGGAACTTCTGTTTGAACAAAAGGAACAAATATACAGCTTTCATCAGAACATTATTAAACCCACATTTACATTTTTAAACCCAATATTAAATGGTTAATTCATGAGTTAATTAAAGCGAATTCAAGCGCCTTTGTCAGTGTAGTGAACAGAGTGTTAAGCTGGTTGTTAAAGTATATTTTACTTAATATTTCTAATTTGTTTCAAAAGCGCTTCATAAAAGAGATTCAACATTTATATCTGCTCATTTCTTGCAAAGAAATTACTTAAAAAGTCTAATATATTTTTTCTTTATGCAGGTTAAAGTCTTTTATGGCAGATTTTGTAATGTTTCTTTCATGTTTACAATTTGTTGAGATTTGGCTTTGACTTGCGGGCACAGACCGTGTAACTTACACATCCACATTTTTAGTGTGGCCGAGGACCGTTGTTGCATTTTCTCTTCAATCCCTAACTTTCCCCTGTTTATTTTTGTCACACATTGTGGATGTCTCCAACATGTAAGGCTATGATTCTTTTGCTCACAGGTTGCATTTTCCCTCTAGGCTACACAGCAGTGAGCACAATATGTGTTAAAATCAATTGAGTAAATGCTCTTCACTTGTTTTTCTGCCCAGACTGGAGCGAGCCAAGAAACTGCAGGAGCAGAAGGAGAAAGAAATGTTTGAGAAGCAACAGCAGCAGCAGGAGATAGCTGCAGGTAAAGGAGATTATCCGTCCAAATATTAAAACCTCGATTCATCTAGACTTATTTATGCTGATCCATATATTTTATTTGCAGTGACTGCACCCATTGCAGTAGCTGCTGCTGCTGCAGCCGCAGCTGCCTCGAACCCGGGCCTCAACGTTGCAGCCCTGCTGGCTTCTGGGACGCAGGTGACGCCTCAGATTGCCATGGCAGCGCAGATGGCTGCCCTTCAAGCGAAAACACTGGCAGAGACTGGCATCGCTGTGCCCAGCTACTACAACCCATCGTCCGTAAATCCCATGAAGTTTGCAGAGCAGGAGAAAAAGAGGAAGATGCTATGGCAAGGAAAGAAAGAAGGGGTCAGAGTGGGTTTTCAACTTAAAAATTACACTTGAAAATGACGGTTTTAAAAAGCAAGATATCAAACATTTGTATATGAAGCTCATTGTTTTTTGTTTTTAATCCGTAAGGACAAGTCCCAGACAGCTGAGCTATGGGAGAAGCTGAACTTTGGGAACAAGGACCAAAATAATAAATTTCGCAAACTAATGGGTATTAAAGTGAGTGTAACTTTTGTTTCTTTCTCTTACTCAGCAAGGTTTTGGACAAATCGTTCGTTTTGGCCTTTCAACATTAAATTCACAGAGTTGTTTTTAATTTGCTTCTTTCGCTGCCTTTGCAGGATGATGAAGCCGAAGCTCCCAAACCACTAAATGACGAGGGCATGCAGACTCTTCAGAAGCAGGAAGAGATGTTTAGGAACCTCGACGTTCAGTACGAGATGGCTCGCTCGCAGACGCACACCCAGAGGGGAATGGGCCTCGGCTTCACCTCCTCCTTCTCCCGCGGGATGGATTCTATTTAGAGCTAGACGTCCGGTGTCCGCTGTGTGTGCCACACTCGTCTGATCATATAGGACCATAAACTCATCGCTAGCCTTCAAGCTTGCATGGATGTTGCTCTGAAATCTGCAATTAATTTAATGACAAGTATCTTACACATTTGAACATTTTCGTGTAAATAGCCGGATGCTGAGTTGGTCTCAGTGATTGTGAATCTGTACATCTACCAAAAGAAAGCATCAGGTGGACTGCTCGATGCTGGTTACAGTTAGATATTTGTTTGACTAATGTGGTAGCTTTTTTTAACCTCAAATATATGTTAATATGTGATTGTTTGAACATACGACTGAATATAATGTGGTTTAAGTGCACACTGTTTACATCCTTTTTAAAGAAGGTGTCTGAAGTCGATCTAGAATGGTCTGAATCCCAGAGGTTTGTGTTTCCTGCTGGAGACAGCGAGTTATAAAAGACACTGTCTCCAGCAGACAAAGATGTGCGGGAGAGGAGGAATCACATGTTTCAGATGTTAAAAATAAATTAGTTTTGTGTCTAATACTGTTTTTCATACATCACCTTCCTTCATTTTTGTTTTGTGTGGCATCCATTTTTCTCTAGCAAGGACAACGCCACAAAAATATGTCTGAGATCTTCAATGATAAATCATCTGACTGTATGTTGAGGTCGTGATTGTGATGCACGAGGATGTTGTCAGTCGGCAGGTCTGGGAGGATGGACTGACAGCAGAGCAGAGAGAGTCCTAGGATGGGGGTTTTAATCCTGCCTGAGCCGATCAGAGCCCAGACTGTGCCGAGAATTAAAACAATATGAAGGGACGAGGAAAGAGGATGGTTAGAGGAAAGGAATGGAGGATGGGTGAAACATCTGAGACAAACAGGGTGGTGTGGTATAGCTGGATAGTTGGCTTATCAGGTGGTTGAAGGTGTGCTTTGGGTGTCGCCCTGCTCCCGAACATAAGGCGCAAGTTAATAAATTAACTTCATTTGTTGAAATAAAGACAATGTGGGTGCTAGGGCGGGGTTTCAGGAAACAAAGAAACATCAAAAGTTATTTTCAGTATCAGTTTAGATTTCTGTACGATAAGGTCGTTTTAAATGTTCAAACCTTTTGGACACCATGTATTTTTCAACTCAACAAAGCAACACTCGATAAAGACGCAAAAAGTTAGGTCCATATCTCTTACAGATACCAAAGGAGTTGACAAGTGCTGTCTAAATTGCACAAACGCATTGGAAATGTATGTATGCATATGTATATATGCAACTCAGACTGCGTGCACAGGTTTGCCTGGATTGATTTCTCTACATATGCTTTAAACCTTGACAGCAAACATAGAAGATAATAATAATGTGGCCAAAGTGTTCAAAACTGGGATATTTTTCTTTACCACTGTACAATCTCTTGTTAATTTAGTGCTTAATAGTATTGAAAAGTATCCAAGCTTTGGAAAAAACAACTATTTCAAAATAAAAGCATGTTGAGAGGAATAGCACAAATACTGTACATTGGCCACAGTTTGCTTTGGTGATGTGCTAATGTGTTTGTGCTTTTTAAACAGTGTTAGTCTGCAGTTTATGATAATTAAAAACATAAAATAATCAAAAGCTGGATGCCTTGGACATGATCTATTTTTGTTGCTGTGGTGTCCATTTAATTTGAGATTTACTGGTATTACATCAAAGCTTAAAATGATGGTATCAAGACAGCCCTGCTACATAATCAAATAATATTATATAACAGATTAAAATGGACAGCTTTAGTCACCTGCAATTATATTTATGTAATTGGAAACAGGATCACCCAGCCCGCCCCCTTTTTACAAAACCTGGTGTAAGAATGCAGAGAACAAAGACTCAAAGGAAAAAAAGCACAACTTTGAATTAAAAAAATAAACTCATTTATTAGAATAATCAAAGTGCACATCTTTCTGTTTCCACCCAGCTCTATTTACATATCAGACTTGAGTACAGCACGTGAGCCACACCAGTGATGAGGTTGTGGTTGGCGAACTCGAGGATGAGAAGCAGGATCGGGTACTCGCTGCGTCTCTTCTCCAGGGTGGACTCGTCACTCAAACCCATCCAGTGAAGCAGCAGTGTTCGCATGGCTTCAGGGAACAGCTCCGTGGTCAGCTCCTCTGCGGGGGGCAAGTCGCTGATCCTTTCGATGTGGTGAACTTTAAAGCCCTCCACTTTGTGACTGATGCTGCTGTTGGCTGCGTGAAACTGCTGCCCAAGCCAGCGTCCAACACAACATAACAACGGGCTGGAGTAAACACCCCCCCAGTCTTTGGCCTTCAGCAGGGCTAGCACAGCCTCTTTCACATCTTTTTCTTCCAGATTCCCGCTCATGCATTGATTAACGGTCTCTAAAAGCAGCAGGATGGTTTCAAGATAGTCTGCGGGGCTTTCAGAGAGTTTGTCATGCAGGTCCTGCAGCTTTCGTCTCACTGTGGAAACGTCTCGACTGCGTGGCTCAGTGTGCAAAGTTTGCTTTGACTGAGAACAATAATCGTGATCGGCCGACGCTGATGGGTCACCTGTGTCGCTATCGTACGCGTCCACCGACTCCTGGCCAACACGAGGTAGTGACATTTCCTCCTTTGATTGTGCATCATGCACGTTGCTGGACGGTGTTAAATCCAGCTGCACACTGAGGCTGTAACTCGTTTTCAGAGGGCTGGCATTGATCTGCATTTTCCAAACATCCTAAAAAGGAACGGCAATAATTAATATCAAAATGTATGAAATGTTGTAGCTTAAAATAGATCATCTTAAGTGTTCTGTACCTGGAAGTTCTCGAGCACAGCGAGCTGCTCTTGCTTACTGTACATCTCAAAGGCGACTCGAAAAAGCCCTTGAATACTGTAGAACCAGAGGCTGTTATTTACAGTCGGCACCTTCAACCCGTGGAACCTGAAAGCTGACACAGGCAGAAGAAATTGTAAAAATGTTCCTGTGCGTAGGCGTGTGCATTGATTTTTTTATTTATTTTTTGCCCTCTCTTGCATTTTACCTGAGGAGAAGTGAATCTTTGTTGCCAAGCCTTTCTTGGCAAACTTGGCATGGTGTCTCGGATGGTTCTCGGTGCGGATGTCGGTGTTGGAGAAGAGATCAGCTCCTAAATAGAGAGGGACGGCAGCACTCTGAAACAGACACAGAGATGAAACGTTTGAAATCAAAGTGCCATCGGGTATTTTTTATTAAGAAATGGAGAAAAGTGAAACGATGAAAAAGATCATTTCAAGAAAGAAGTTAGGAACTACATTAAAGTCATTGGTAACAGTTTGTATAAATGCCATTAATGTTAAAAACTAAAATATGGAAACATGGTATGGGACCATTTTTTCAGGATATTTAAAGTCCCCAGTGAAACAGAACTTTGAGAGTAATGCTGCATTCATGTGCTCCCAGTTTCCGAGTTGGGAAGTCGTTCTTCCGACTTCAGTGTGTTAACATAATTAGTTTGTTAAGTCGATGCTACGAAGAAGATGTGAGGAATGTCTCTGTTACAAGTTATAGTCGAGTAAAAAGTTGATGTGCAATACGTGAATTAATAAAAAAAGTATCATTAACATTAACAAAACATCTTTTGCCCCACATGTGATGACGATTATGACGTCAAGTCGGGCCCCTAATTCTTTGGCATTCATGTGCATTTTACAACTCAGAAAGTTTCCGACACCTGTACATGTGTTGGTAGTATTTTTCAAAGTGATGAAAAATCTCATCCTTCTGTCTTAAGTTAAATATATCACTCATTATTATATCTGCTAATGGAACTGAAGAAGGCTGTAACCGCTTCTGTTTATTCTACAATTCACTTTATCCAAAGCGACGTACATCAGAGAGTAAGAACAACACAAGCAAGGATCTAGAAAAAAGGGAACAATGTCAGTAAGAGCAAACGATCAGCTTTGAGTCTGATTGGACACACAGGTGCTGACAGGAAGTGACCAGAGGCAAAGCACAACATTGAGGGCAGTTCTTGAGAGCTCTAATCAGTATAGAAACCATCTTATAAGTCATCGTTATCAAACAAAAACCATCGTCATTACCATCATCATCATCAATAATATGGAGACCATCATCATTAAGTTAGTAGGTATTCATGAAAGAGCTGGGTCTTTAGTTTTTTCTTAAAGGTGCAGAGGGACTCTGCCACCTACCCATGGCAGCAATTACAGGCTTAAAAAACAAGCATAAAGAAATAATCAATCATATTTCTGATGGTCATGTTAGCTTTTCTATCTCATACAGAGGCATCAACATTGTATTCAGATTGTTTCATAACCAGATAAAACTCCCTCACAGGAGCTTTAAGTGAAGGGATTGTTTGCACCCTCTCGCTGGGCTTCTGGGAAATGAAGTCATAAAAACAAAACTAACCCCTTCCTTTAAAGAGTTAGGCACATAACACATCTTGAGAGCATTGCAGTGGGAGCACCAACTCACCTGGTTGGGACACTCTGTCAGGCTGAACGACGTGAGGTTCGCCCATGGGTTCGCCAGGTAAATGAAGCGAACTTTCCGCGAGCCCCCGTCCCACTGCGGTAAGGTCAGGTGGATGGTGGAGCTGCTGGACATCGCTGAAGGCAAACGAAGCTTCTCACTTTGTCATTAATGTGTTTCAATGTGTTCTGTGTTGTAGAAAAAGCTGAGTAATTCACTAAAACCATGTAAGCAAAGGTAGAGAAGTCAAACTGACGTAAAAACGCGAGGAGGCACGACGAAACGTAACAAATGACGCAGCAGTGTTCAGCCCTCAGTTCTGTCTTACAGACCTAAGACGCTGTGATAGATGCAGATGTTAACATTTTCCCGACTGTTGTTTTTATCCTATCCATCATTCAACCATAGCATTCAACATTGACGGGCTGTCCCTTTATTGACATTTTAATGTGAGCATTGTGTATCATACAGTGTAAAAAGTACGCTATGTGCTATTTTTTCTTAATTTTAGGCCAAAACTTGTCATATACATAGGTTGGGAAAAGTAGTAGTAGTAGTAGTAAATATTTATTTCGGTCCATGACCACAAAGCATAAAACATACACGAACAATAATAAAAACATTATTTTTTATTATAAATAAAATAATAAAAAATTATGATGCCTACCCTTTGAACATTTCATTTATACAGTATATCAAAACAAGAGTAGCTGCAAAACAAACAAACAAAGTAACCTGATTTCACAAAACAGAAAACAGTTGTCAGTTAACCAAATCAAAACAACAGGGAAAAAAATAAATAAATGAAAAGCTTCCATAAATGATAAATTATAGTCAGACTATAGTTATAAACTATTATATACTTTCTATACGTTTATATTCCATATGTCATAGAGCAACAATATTACCATATGAATATACATTATACTCCAGGCTCCCTCTATACACACTGTTATACATTTACTAATTTACTTTACACATTAAAACAATCTATCTTATCCTGTTGACTAATCTGTTGTTCAGTGAACCTTAAATACAACGTTGGGGGCCTACATCACTGTTGTCAACTGGTTGTCAGGTGACAGCAGGAGGACCAATGAGGACGAAGAGCAGTTGATTTCACCTCTGACCTCCGTGTGTGCGGCGTTGAAGCTGGATAAAGATGGCTGAAGTAGATTTCGGGGATAGTGAGCTCTTTGAGCAGCTCGATGATGACTCTGCTCCTCTCGTCCCGACACACATCCGCTTCACGGAGGATGATAACGATGAAGAGGAGGAGGGGGAGCCGGAGGAGACGATCCGGATGCGGAGCAGGAGCAGACTGGAGGAGTTTGATGAGCACATCCGGAGACTCACGGAGGAGAATATCCTTATGTGGGCTACAGCTAGCTGTTAGCATCATGTTAGCATAGTGAGGAGCCTTCTGTCTGTAAACAGAAACATCACCACCTGAAAACTGTTTTTTATTGTCTTTATGTCGTTTTTCTTTAACTCTAAGTTCACATAAAGGTTTGAGAAGAAAGTTAAACATCCTCACACGACCAAGGTAAAAACACTGACTGTCGTTTAACTTGATAATAAAACGAAACAGCAGATCAAACACTGATTTGCTCCTGACTTTTCAGCGGGATCACGATGGAAGATGTCAACATTGACGGACCAGTGCTTCAAATCCTTTATGCAAACAACATCATCTCCAAGTAAGCATCATTTCCCATCAGTAAAAGTGTGCAGCTGTCTGGTGTTTGCACAAACATGGCTCTGAAATCTACTAAAAATACTTAAAAATAAAAAAAACACAGGCGATATCCCAAAACTACGGAGTCCCTGAAGTCCCAAAATGTAAGAAATAGTATCTTGTGAGGTAATTAAATTGGGCGCATAAGATTTGTTTCCATACCACAGTAATGTAAGTCCTACCCACCCCCAAATTGGGATATTTTTTTATTTTCTGTTGTAAGAAAACTCCTGCACAATGTCTAGATTGCACAAATACATGTGCAACGTTTCGGTTCCATAAAGGTTTCCAATGTATTTGTGATATTTAGACCGTATCACCCTCACTGCTCTCTGTATGTTTGTAAGAGACGTAAAAGGTAAAGGTGTGTCTTCATAATGACAATAATAATAAGACATGTTATTTAAAGGCGCCTTACAGAGCAGAGATGAAAACAACACAACGATAAGATTAACATAAAAAACAGAAATGTACAGGATGTAAAGGAGTTATGAGAACGGGTGGAGAATGATCCGTTTAAAAAGATGTGTTTTGAGATGAGAGTCGATATTACAGATTTGTGGTGGGAGGGAGTTCCAGAGGTGGGGGGGGCAGAGCGGCTGAAGGCCCTGGACCCCCCCATGGTGGACAGGCGGGCGGGCGGTGCAGTGAGTTGAATGGAAGAAGAACCAGAGAGTGCGGGTAGGTGTGTTGATGTGCAGGAGTTCAGAGAGGTGAAGCGGGGCGAGGTTGTGGATGGCCTTGAAGGTGAGGAGCAGAATTTTTGAAGGTGATGCGATGTTTAACCGGGGAGCCGGTGAAGCTGCTGTAGGACAGGGGTGATGTGATTAACAGAGGGATTTGTAAAAGGAGGTGTGAAGTGTCAGCATGTGCCAAACTTTGACTCTGAATTGACCGCCTCGTCCTTTTCTCTGATGCCAACTTTGGATTAAAATATGACTGAAGTTTCTGAACGTTTACTTCTATTGAAATCCGAGCTTGTATCATACTAAAACCTGTGGTATTGAAAAGTATCAAACATTTACAACCTTATCCCTAATCAGCTGAACTAACAGTATATTAATTTATGTTCTTGTTCAATCTAAGTGTGAATAATGAAGCCTTAAACAACATGACTGTCTCCTCTTTAGACAATGTCGTCAAGAAATAGAAGACGGTATCTGCAGTGTGATTTTGAAGCATCAGCAGCTGGGCAATGAAACGAAAAAAACACCTATCAAATTAAAGCGCAGGTATGAATCCAAAATGTGACTGTGAGTAATAAAAGGTGAGCTCTTACTAATCAAAAACATTTTCTTTGTGTGTGAAGAATTCAGCTTTTGCTTTGGACGAAGAGCCACAGAAGTCGTCCTTCAGTGGAGTGAAAACAGAATCCTATACAGTGAGTATTTAATGTTGGTTTTAGCACGTCACAAAATGTCTGTGTGTAGCTTTTAGAATATATCAACATGTCAAACTGTCCTCTTATTTCTCTGTCTCAGGTGGTTGGAAGCGTTTTACATTTTACTACTTTCAGTGTTGACAAACTTGGCCAGCCTCTGGTGAATGAAAACCCCCAAACGACGGATGGATGGGAGGTTCCAACGTATCTTTAAGATGGAGAACATTGACTCATCATCAGGACTCGACAGCTTTTGTCTGTCGGGTTATTTCTTTAGAAGCTGTAACGCACAAGTAGAAAACTGTTCCGCCATAGAGGAAAGAGTGAGGAAAGAAAAGACGTCCACATTTAAATTTATTCCAAACAATCTCCTGTGAGCTCTAAATCAAAAATAGACAGGAAGACGTAGATTTTGTGAGTTTTCTTTGCACAAGCATGATTAAAACTTCCTGAATTGTCACAAAGCTATCACCAGGTTTTCAACCAAGTCATTGGCACGGATGGAGTGGAAGTAGAGATGAAAGATAAAAGGTACGTCTGGTGTTACTTAATGAGCTTCTATATATTAACCTGCTTTACAGTGTGTGTGTGTGTGTGTGTGTAAGCATATAATGAGTCATCACTTATCTGTTCACTGTAGATCAAAATCCATTTGTTTCAACTGCGGTCTGAGCAGCCATCAGATGAGAGACTGTCCCAAGGTAAGAAGGAGTAAATATTGATTTTGTGAACCAAGCTCAATCAAAGTGTCACAACTGTATTAACCATGTGACCACGATCTTACCTTCTTAGCCTAAAGACATGGCTGCAATAAACGAGAGAAGAAAGGAGTTCAATCAGGGCAACAACCAGGCCATGCAGAGTAACCAGAGATACCACGCTGATGAAGTGGAGGAGCGCTTTGCTAAATACAAGGCTGGAGTCATGAGGCACAACTCTTATTTTATACACATCATACAAAACATACTGAACATGCAGTATCTACTGGAGTGAGTTTAGGTCGATCTTGATCACTGAATGTTGTACACTGTTGTGCTTTATGATAGCGAGGAGCTCTTGACTGCTCTGGGACTCGATGGCAACGCCCTCCCTCCTCTGATCTATCGCATGAGGCAGCTAGGCTACCCACCAGGTTGGCTCAAAGAGGCGGAGATGGAAAACTCCGGCCTGGCTCTTTATGATGGAAATGGTACGTTTTGAATTGAAAGTCTTGTGGAGCCAGATGTTTTCATTTCAGTAAATTTGTGTTAAAAGTTGTTAGACTGATATTGAAACATGCAGAGGTTGGGTTGAAACTTAGTTTTTTTTTGTTTCTAGTTTCCAATGATGGTAATGCGACAGACGGTGCCAATTCCCAAAACACCTCCTATGATGTTTCCAAACTGGTGGATTTCCCGGGTTTCAATGTACCTGCCCCAAACATGAAAGATGTAAGTCTGACAGAGTGATCATAGTGATAGGAGAGCAATGTGTCCATCAAAAACCTAAAGGTCTACCGAGTCAAGACCACACTAACCGAGAACAAGACAAACCTGATACCAGAGTGCCCCGAGACAAGACATTTAGGGATCGATAACGTGTTGAGACCAAGACCATAAATCTTGTTTGCATTTGGTCTTTTAGAAAGTTGTGTTTTCCTTCTAATGACAATAACGGAAAAATAGCCTTTCAGTGGTGGTGATTTAAAATCAAGAGTCCGCCCAGTCTGAGACCGAGACAAGACCGAGTAAAAATGCTTTAGACTTCGAGATTAGACCGACACTTTCATTTTACTCAAGAAACCATGACGATTGATCGATGCTATTACCTATCCATGGAGTTTGTTTGTTACTGGGGTGTTACGTATGTGTGTGTTACTTCTTCTTTCAGTCACAAGGCGTCTGCATCATAATGTTTATACACTCCGTCTTATTAATTAGAAATTTGGTGTGTATTTGGAGGCAGGATGAAACCTTCACAACATTTGCACTGCTCACACTCTCTCTTCTTCTGACCTGCAGGAGTTCATGCAGTACGGCTCTATTCCAATGCAGAGCAGCCACATGAAGCAAAACTACGCGCCTACCTGTCCAACAACTTCCCCATGGTGATTATCTTGAAGCCTCTGGTGGTTCAGTTTTTCCTATCAACACAAACTACATTAAAACTAGAATAAATCCCTGTCCCACAGTGAAGCTCCACCTTATCCTGACTTTATGGATATAATGTTCCTCCATTAGTGCAACCACATTCATCAGAACAAGATGACATTCTTCTTTTTAAAAATACATATGTAGGACTCTATTATTCTGTTGTAGTGTAAAATATAAAGTTTTAGAAAGGTTGTTATTGTGGTGGAATTTCTGTAGTTATTTAGATTATAATGTACAGATGTCATTATTCACTGTTCTCTAGTGTCAGTCAGACCTGACAGAGTTCAGCTGTGATTAGAAACACCAAGTACAGCTTAGAGAGTGTCAACTGTTCTTCCTGAAATCTGTAAGGATGTTTGGTAGACTTATTGTCTGCTCCAGTGTTATAGACGTCACAGTTTCCTCTAGGTGGGTCAATGTGACCCTGATAATGATGGTGTCTTTTAGGATATATGCGATGCCTTTTGAGAAGTTCAGCAGATGTGATTGAGCAAGACACGAGTACAGAAGTGTGATGTTGAATCATGTTGAATCATGTCTCCTCATGAGTATTCATCTGATGTATAAACTTTCATCAACGTAAGCCATCTGAGTCAACTGAGTCTTATTGTATGAAGTCAAGTCTCAGTAATTTTTTCAACAGTTATAACCTCATTGTATTGGTGCAGAAACAAAAGCCCCAAACAAACATTAAATCTGCTCTTCTCCATCTTTATGATGCTTTAAAATAAGAATACAGTATGGGAAGGTTCATCAAGCTATCAAAGGGATACATCTGGGTAACAAGGGGATGAACTCAGGAAATGTATTTCAAAAGAAAATAAATACAACAGATTCTAAATAACAGTGATGTAAGTGTTGTAATGTTAATATAAAGTGTGTATATATATATATATATATATATATAAAACTACTCTGGTGAGGTGTATTTTGCACAACATTTGACCTTTAATGCCAGTTTCTGGAATTTTCCAATCTTCACGTGTTTGATGGAATTGATAACATGAGATAGTGTGATGACCTTTTATTGTCCCTCCCTTCAGTACTTTAAGTTCACATATTCTTCTTCTCTGTGAACAGCCCGGTGCCAACAGCAACAAGAGACAGCTTGAATGTGACTCATCTCCCCAGCTGAGGAAGAAGACGAGGTCCAGTCCTGATCGGACGTCTGACAGAAGCTCAGACATGGATATTGAATCAGGTAACTTAAGACACTTTTTTTTTATCAGCAGTCAGATCTTGTGTGCCATCCAGTCCTTCACAAGTAAGCTGAACAGAGTACGTTTATTTCAAGTTAGCTACAAGGCAGAAGGTTAAAATTAAAATTTGGGGAGTAAATCTCTTCACCGTTGTCTTCACCTTCAGGCATCAGTTTAATTTACTACCCTCTTAAGTCACTAAGGACAAAAATGTCCATGCCAAAAAACTGCTATAAAAATAGAACACATTGAGGACAGATGGAGGGCTGAGTTGTGTTAAGAGATTTATGCAAAAAAAAAAGTAGAAAACAATATGAATCTGTTCTATTTTTACAGCAGTTTTTATAAATTGGACATTTTCACCCTCCAATGTTCAAACAGGGAACTACATTTTAAATCTGATGCTACACAAAAACTAACAATTCATCAAAGTCAATATTTTGGATAATCTTTGACATATCCAAGACTGAGTTAAAAAAAAAAAATTCCCCCAGCCATCAAATATTTTTATATGGAAAATAACTAATTTTTTAATAAATAACATTGACATCAAGTAATCAAACTGGCATTTAAAGGGTAAAAGTCCTAAAAATGATTGAATGTTTGGTAGTTTTGAGCAGGGCTGAAGTTGTTTAAGAGATTATGTAGAAAAAAATATCAATCTGTTCTATTTTTATAGCAGTTTTTTGTAAGTGACATTTTTGTCCTTAATGACTTAAAGGGTAGTCAATATGTTTCTCAGTGTTCTATTGATCTATTAAAAAAAATTAAATGTGCATTCTAAAATTTGTCAAGAGAGAGTCTGTCTTGAAAAATGGTGCCAAATGCACTAACACAGACAAAGTGATGGCCAGATAAAGAGGAAACATTTGACCAAATGGACAAAAATGTCCATAGTGATGCATGAGACTCAATATTTGGCAGCTATGATTAGATTATGCCCTCACATCCTGAGGATGCTATATTCTTGTATGAATATTTTGCCCCACCTCTATAATAAACATATTTTGACTGAATCAGCTGCTTCTTTGTTGGTCTTCCCCTCAGACCCAGGAACACCTTATCATCACGGCTCAGGGGACTTCCAGTTCCAAACTCCTCTACCCCCTGGCTCTCCTTGCTTCAGTTCACCTCCTCCTCTACCCCAGGGCACTCCTCCTGCCACGCCCACTCCTCCCCCTCTCCCTAAAGGTACACCTCCTCCCACACCCACCAATGGCTCTCCGGCTCTGCGCGGGGGGAGCTGGACAGTGGTTGATGAAACTGGGGATGGAACGGAGGATGAACTGTCACTGGAGGAACTGGAGGAGCAGCAGAGGTTGATATGGGCTGCTCTAGAAAACGCAGACACCGCCACCAACAGTGACTCTGAGACACCTGCAACGGGAACTCCTGTACCCAGTTCATCGAGCGTATCCACACCTGTGCATGTGGACACAGAAACGGAAGAGGGCGAAGAAGCGATGGACACAACAAAACCTGAAGAGTCTTGTCAGAACAATGACAATCAAAGGGAACCGGAGGCTCTGAGCCCTGGGCCGATCAAAGGCGAGGAAGACAGTCCTCAGAGTCCTGAACCAGGTCCAGTCAAAGTCAAACATGACAGCCCTCAGAGTCCAGGTCCAGTCAAAGTCAAACATGACAGCCCTCAGAGTCCAGGTCCAGTCAAAGTCAAACATGACAGCCCTCAGAGTCCAGGTCCCGTCAAAGTCGAAGATGACAGCCCTCAGAGTCCAGGTCCAGTCAAAGTCGAAGATGACAGCCCTCAGAGTCCAGGTCCAGTCAAAGTCGAAGATGACAGCCCACAGAGCCCGGACTCGATGAAAATCCAGGAAGGATCCATCCAACAGGAGCCTGATCAGGGTGTCCTGCCCGGGGGTGCCGCAGATTGTGTTTCCCCTGAGCACTTTGAGAAGATAGGAGCTGTTCCTCATCGGAGCAACTTCGCAGCTGGCATTGTTCAATTTGAAGACACACCAGAATTCACTGAAGTTGCAGAAGCCACAGGAACGTACCTCAAGATCAGAGACTTGCTTAAATGTTCCCCTCGAAATTTGGCAAAGAAAAAGTAAAACACTTTATTGATTTGGAACACCAGGATACCATTTTTTAAAACAAATACTTTTATTTTCATGACCGTTTTGTCAAGCATGTGTTTTAGCTCTTTATTTTATTTTTTTACCACACTGAATTTCTGTGATTTATGCATTTGATCTGTAATCATACTACAAGGGAGAGACATTGAGGGATGTTGCAACAGCAAATGGTTTAGTATAGCTGGGGCCATTTAGTTGCATATTTTTTGTAACAGTAGTTCTTGCTCATGCTGTTCATTTTATTGTTAAAGTTATAAAATTGTCAATGTCCTATCTGCATTCTTTTCAGAATCATTGTTTGTAAATGGTTTTTCTATTTTTGTCCCTCTTACATTGCTCTTAAACCATAAAGCAAACAAGCTTGTATTTCGCTCAGTGCACTACTTTATTCAGCAGACATTTTTAAATGCAGGTCTGATTTCTTTCAGGTTATATCTTCCCAGGACAGAGTGCCTCATATGTGAAGGGTTTGATTGTTCTAGTCATTTTTAGCAGAGCTCAGTGTAAAAGTCGTCGCTGTATTGCTGTAAGCAGCTCGTGTTGATTTTCATGCACATTTCTAATGACATAGTACTACAGCAGTTTGCATTTTTTCCATGGCATTAGAATATCTTGTCGACATTCCTTTAGTATGCAATTCATCCAACTAGTGTCAATAAAGTCTGTTTCCTCTTTCAACTGATCTGCCAGAATAAGGCATCAAAAGTCTAAATACAGATTTGTACATTCAACAAAGCCAACACTTGCAGCTCTCTTCATCTGTAAATGACTTGCACATACATGCATACTGAACGCTCACACACACCTACAAACTGTACATACTTATGCAAATGTGTATTCACAGGCCCATGTGCATGGGTGTGCAGAAAAGGCCAATACAAGGGTGGAATTATAACCCTTTGCAAAGTCATGTGAAAGCAATGGTATCTGGATTTTTTGTAGCAAAGTGGTCAAATTTCAACCATGACCTTCGCGATGACTTCCATTGACAGATGTAGGTTTTCACAGCATAATGCCTGCCATGCTCAGAAGCCTAGCACGACTGAGTGCTGTGTGGGGCCCCCTTAGGGAAGTTTCCAATTGTAGTTGCAAACTTTGCACATTTTAAGCCAAATCTATGGTTAAAGATTGTCAGCCCTCGGGGGCCCACTACTGGTTGGGGCCCCAAGCAGTTGCCCACCTTGCCTGTGTTGGCAAGCAGCACCTCTGTGCTTAACACCTTGGGTTGGGAACCGGAGGGTCGCCGGTTCAAGCCCTGGTGTGGACCAAATATGGAAGTTGGTCTGGTAGCTGGAGAGGTGCCAGATTACTTCCTGAGCACTGCCGAGGTTCCCCTGAGTGAGGCACAAAACCCCTACCCACCAGGACCGCTGTGGGCAGCTCCATCACTCTGACATCTCTCCATTAGTGCATGTCCATAGGATCCTGTTTGTGCATGTGTGTATATTTCAGCCTATGTGTGTGTTAACAATCTAAAATCTAAATCTAAACATGTCTCTACCAAAACTCCATAGTGCACCTTTAAGGTTTTATCCACAGGGGGCGACAAATCCAGTGAAAACAGAGCTCCTCATAGCAGCTTTAAAATCTAACATTTAGTTTGTTTTGAACTATTACAAAAAAAAAATTGACATCGAACTGCTCCACAATATGGACATGTACATTTGCCAGAAAAAAGTACAAACATATGTCACTTAATTTAAATTCCTTAACGTAGGTTGTTTAGTGTGCCTGTGTAAAAATCGTTCAGCTCTCTCAGAAGTGAGGGAGTGAGTCATCTTGCTCAACATACCATCTTTGGTCGGCACCAGCCGTTGACGTTCCTCCCGGCCGTCGGGCAGTGCGCTGGGCTGGGTCTGATCGGGTAGTCGTCGTCGTCGTGGTGGTGGTGGTTCTCCTCTTTAGCCCGCTAGCTGTGACATGTTTTTTTTTTACTCACAAGACGTATGCTGGAAATAAACACATCAGGTCAGTACTGTGTGGTCATGTATTTCCTCAAACTTGGCTGGTCATATTTCGCCGCTGATAAACCCGGAAGCTCAACGTAAAGGTGAAAGTTGTACAGGTGGTGTGTGGACGTTGCTTAAGGTGTTAAGTTAGCTTACTAGCTAACCAGCCCTTCTCCCTGGATCCTGACCGTAATGCACGGGGTCTCCCTGCGAACGTTACTTAGCAACTAATCACGTCTGTACTTAGATAACAAACAGGGATTCGTTTAATCCGGGGAGGTGACACACGTCGTTATTACGGTTTCTTTTTCAGGTGATCTGATCTTTTAACAGTTTGTTTTGTGCCGACTCTTAACTTGTAGCAGCAGTGTGCCCTGCTGGATTTTCCGTGACATTGCTGAGACTTTTTGGTCTGGTGGAATTTGCTTCACACTTCCACGCTTACGACAGTGGACAGTGGACAGGTTATTCCGGTGTTTTGAACATGTGGAAGTACGTACACACGCTGTAATTCATCCGAAACGGAGACATTAGCCACCAGAAACGTGTAGGAAGCTAAGCTGAGGAAGGTGAGTTATCTGACTTGGTTTTGTTACTCCTTTCCAGATGTGCCACCTCATCGACAGCTCTCAATCCGTTAGCTAGTAGATAGCGTTGACAGGGGCGAGGTAGGCTTCGTTTACTGGGCCGATTCGTTGACCCCAGTCCACAGGAGAACATTAATAACAGCTCAGGAACACCTTGTATTTATCAGGCAAGCTGCCGTGTTACAGTCGAGTCTGCGGTTTTAAAGGTGTGACCGAGGCTTTAATGATCGAGCCTTTTAACTGGAGACTGAAGGGGCAGTTTAACTTGTTTTTCATTGATTGTTATTACCTCAGCTTTTGATGACATGCCAGTGTTTGTGTTTCTGCTGGTCTTTGGATTTATTTGAACGGTAGGAATTAAGCTCAGGATGTGGGAGACAATGGCTTAAGATTGTGGGAGAGTTAGACTAGAATGTCAAATCAAGTTTATTTGTACAGCACATTTAAAAACAGTTTCACATTACCAAAGTGCTTTACAGGAAATGCGTAAAAGAAATAAATACAATAATAATAATCTATACAAATGCACATACATAGACATAATACACACACACATATAGATATATGCACATACATATATACATGTAGTATACATACATACCCTCATACCTACATGCACATGCATGCATACATAAAGAGGTGAGTTTTGATTTGAATGAATTTAACAAGTTCATTTGTCTGATGGAGGGAGGCAGTTGATTCCACAGACAGGGGGGGGGGTCCAGCCAATGAGAAGGCACGGTCACCTCTGAGAATAGACTAGAATATAATAGAAGAGTACATCCTTATTGTCCACCAAATGTGGAAATTTGCCTCGGGCTCTCCAGATAATATAGCATCACAAAAAACATTGAGGCAGTCAGAGATCAGAGCAGCTAAACATTACACATTGAAAAACAGTTTATGTCGTGTTTTGGTTTTGATCTCCTCAGTCATTTATGTTTATCACAAATGTGATAAATGACTTCTTAAATGGCTAATTTCTTATTTTGTTCACCTTTTCTAACCATTGCTACTCAGTCAATTTGTTAAATAAATGATAGGTTATTTTAACAAGTTCTACTCTCTGTGATGTTTATATATGAAAAAACTAAACATTTTGATGCAGAAATGAAAGAAATCCATTCATGCCCAAAGTAACCCTAAACAGGCAAGTCAACCAGCTGGTTGACCTGCATATCTGCTTCCTGATAATCCGGTAATCTGAAAAATTTAACCTGAAATGTTGCTTAATGAAGAGGCAGGAACACAATTTTACCAGCAAATAATTTTTTGCAAATGGATTTCTTAGTGTGAAAGTCAAAGCGTTAAATACATGTTAAGTAAAATACATGTTAAGTAAAATACATGTTAAGTCCCTGAGGGACTCCATTATGCCTCCCTGAGCTTAGAGGCTCAAATGGCAGAAGAGAGGAGGAGATTTGTCTGCTAGGATTCTCCTCACTGTCTAGCTTGTTCTATCAATAAATAGTTCAGACAGGTTTTTGTGCTTTGCCCACTATTTTGCCTGCTGTTGACATTGTAGAGAGTTTATTCTTAAATCAGATAAAATAAAAACTAGCTAACAGATTGAGAGCTGTCGATGAGGTAGACTGTCTTTCTCTTGCGTGACATAAATACAAATGTGCTGTCTAAGTTGATTACAGCCCAATGGATTGGAAACCCTTATATGGTTTTACAATTACAATCAAAATACAAAAACAGTTGCTCTTCTTATTGAAGAAACGCTAAATTTAACGTGGCACTAATAGAAAGAGTTGCTGTAATTGACATTGGGGTCACATTGGAAACTTTGACTTGTCTTGTGTATCATATATTTCTGGTCTCTGTTGTGTCTGGGAACAGTTGTAAGAGTCAGCATCTGTGGTGGAAAGAGCATTGTTTATTTATACTGCCTCTAAAGTATTTGTCTGTGTGTAGACAAGAGTACGGAATAACAGGTGATCCAGTATTATTCACACAGAGATTAGGTGCAGGATGCTTCTGCGTCTTACTCTGCGGATATGTCCTGTTGCTGCTTTTCTCCACCTTCCTCTGTGTCTTAGCAGGGGCCTACATAAGCCTCCCAGCAGATGTTTCCTCAAAAAGGAAAAACCAGAGCTTGCTTTTTGCCTTGTGAGGGCAAAAACAAGAAGGTCGGGAGAGGGTCACATTATTGAATGCACACTTTTTTTATGATATAAATATGTACTTTTTTCAATCTTTTCAAAAGAAAAGTTAAATATACTTTTTTGTCTCCCCAGTCCAGAGTTACCTACAGTATGTTTACTGTATTACAAAGCAGTAAAAAAAGGTCTACTTGCTCTGTGTTAAATAATAATTCAGAGGGTTGTAGACATCATCCACTGAGTCACAGCTGGACTTGCTGTAAAAACATTTCAAGGAGATCTGTTTATGGTTTGATATTCTTGATGTCAGAGGCTAATATTAGACAACTGCAAAGCAATTTGGACCGAGGGCCCACTGGCTTGTGTAACCAGTGACACCCTCACATCAGTTGACAAATACTTGGGAGGCTGACATGGAAGGAGAGTTTGAATTGTCATTACAAAACCTGCATGCAGATTCAGCTGACGTCTGTATCATATGTGGTTTTACACTCCTGCAGTCAGCAGATATTCTCAACAAACATATAAAGGTGTGAATATCCTAGTCAGTTTTAGTTATCCATGTAGAAGTGTTAGGCAGATATTTATCTGCAGTTGTATTCTGTCTGAAGTTTTTCAGCATACTGGATGACCAAGTTGTTAAGATACACTGCTTGGATTGACCCGAGTTTTTAAAGCGTCCATCATTACCAAAAGGGAAGCTGATGATGTTTTCATTTTGAGAAGTAGAGCAAATCTCAGTTCTGTTTTACAAGCTTCCCTCTACACGTTTCCATTTGTGTGTTTATAAAAGAAAAACAATAAAACCCGACTACACAGAGGTATTCGAGTATATCTTAGGACTGAACACAGTTAGTCTATATAAGAGTGTTACTTTTTTAGCATGGATTCATTCATTTATTTAAACTTCTGCAAAACATTGTCATTTGGCTTTCTTCCTAGATTCAGATTAGAGTAAGAGTCTGGCTAAAGATTAACGCTACTGCAGTGGGAAACTCTCCAGACTAAGTGGATCATTTTCAGCTGACTGCTCTGGCGCACCAATCAGAGATGAAACATCCTCTTTAAATGTTTACGGGATAGTCTTAGTTAAGCCTGGTGGTGCTCTACCAAAAGATCAAAATGCAAATGATTTTTTTTACAAACACTTGTCCTATTACACAGACGTATCCCTCAGTTGGAATAGATATTGATAAGATTTCATGTCACATCCTGTATAGGCTCTTCTGTGTGACTTTAATGTCAGCTGTGTAGCCTTCAGGCATCGAGACCCTTTCTTTCTTTGGCCTCCTCTTGACCTGAGGGCTCTAATCAGTATCATTCAAAGTCACAGCAGGAGAAAACTGGAACAAGGAGTCTGAACTAGGTCGCTGCCTTCTGATGGCCACCCTTTATTCACTGCTGAGAAAACTAAATGGAGGGTGTGTGTGTGTGTGACAGAGTTTGTGTCTTCTTGGTTTTTGGTAAAGCTACATACTGAAGCTCTTAGTCCCTTAAAAGCATGAAAGGTATGTTGACAATGTGTGACAAGTTCTGGATTATATTTCAACCCTGTGTGAAGTCATGTGTCTTGGCTGCCTTAAAGCTTACTCAAAATCAGTTTAACTTTGCAGGAGATGTGAAGTTGATTAGTTGATTTGAACTTTCAAAATGTCTTCTCTTTATTTTGAACAAGATTTCAAGGGAGAATGAAGTCCAAGCTTTTCAATCCAGCACCCTCTTCTTTCAAAACATTTCTGTTATTTTGCCCCAGGATGTGAAAGCATTTATAATCGTTGTTTGTGCTAAAGTCAGAAAATAATGAAGTCTTTTTTCTTGAAATAATCTAATAGCCATTTCATTTTCTGTACAGTCATGACCTGTGGCAATAGTCATGGAAAATAGCACAGATTTAGTCAAGTTGAATACTGAGTGTAACTGAAAACTATTTTAGTTTAGTTATTTAGTTACAGACCCTTATTACCCCCCTCCCCCTAAATAACAGAGAGCTGAAAATCACATTCAATCCAAGAACATATTCAGTAAACTGAATACCCTTTGGTCACAATGATGTTATGTAGATGCATTACAGTATGTGTTTATTAATCACATACTGTTTTACCAAATGTACATTTACAATATGGCATGTTTGTACATTTCTGTGTTTGCTCACAAAGCAGCTCATCACACCCTAAGGCTGCATGTGTGTAGTAAGCTTTCACTGATTGTGGTCGCACAATCTAGTACCCTACTTGGCTTTTGAGTCTTTCCGTGCACCTGTTCTGCTGGGATTTTGTGGGTTTGATCCAACCCAGATTTCTGTCAGTAGTTTTTCTATTGTTTTTCATGTCATTGATGAAGGAAATGGGTTTCTAAAAACCATCCAAAACCCACACTCAGTCATTTGTCAAACTGCCAACAACATGGGGAACGTGTTTAGTACACTCGGCCAATCAGTTTCTGTGGTGAGGTAATCTGACAAAGAGGATAATCTGCTGCTGCTGGTGGTGGTCTTGTTTGTACTGTAATCCTGTTTTAGAAAAAGCTGCCAACCAGATTTACACGATTTTATGTGCCTGATTGATAGATTGAGTGAGACATTGTTTGTGGTAGGTACTTCCCGTGCGTTTTGTGGTCAAGGTCGCAGATGATAAGCCTTTAGCAAGTTCGTGATGGCTGTGACATAGACTGCATATCGGCTGGCCTTTGACAAGGTATTTTTAGGTCTAACTGTGACGTGGAGTGTGCTGAGCACCTTGTTGTCATAACAGAAACAAAATTCCTCCATTAACAGAGCACCACCATACACAAAGTCACTGAACATGTCTTAAAGGCATAACTGTACCGGCCATTTATTAGTTCAGAATTAGATTATTGCTGTGTGTGCGACCCCCAGCAGAATCAGAGGCATGAAAAATCAACTGAAGTGCTGAGTAGAGACACAGTCGAGTTAACATGTCTCTTCTCCCTTTTTTGTCTCCAAACAGGGTCCTTTACGTGAGCAGCACCCTTTCCTCCCTTCTCCCTTTTCCTGTTTTACTTTTTTGTTAAACATTTCTTTTCTATATTCGTTTTTTATTTTGGTGCGGAGAGAACAACTTCGCCTAACAGAGCTGCAACCCGTTGTTTTCATGGTCTGGGGTCAGTCTGTACCCACTGCCGGACACAAGCCTTGTTGGTCTAACAGATCACAGGAGGAAACATGAGCACAGCTAAGCCCACGGGGATCAAAGCGCCCAGCAAGATAACTAAATCTGGGACAGGAGCCCCCAAGACCAACCCCAGCACAGGTAGCTATCTTCCAACATGCTGCCTTTCAAACTTGCAATGAGGCATTGCAACTGTTTACACATGAATGTCCATAGGCAGCTGATTTGTTAGTACTTGTGGTGCTTGGAAAATGTTATTTTATTACAATGTGACTACATACCTGGGAGGACAGAGCCTTCTCCATAGCTGCCCCCTCCCTCCCTACTCACTCCCAACACACATTCAACACCGCACCGACCCTCCTACTTTCAAATCACTTATAAAAACTCACCTCTTTAAACAAGCTTTTAATTATGATTGTGATGTATTTTCTGTTTTCTGTAGTTTTACCTTTATTGTTGTTATCTTTATGGTTTGTGTGTAATGTTGCAATGTCTGTTAGTCTGTCCTTACTGTGCTGTTCTTTCTGTTTTTAACTATTGTACAGTGTCTTTGAGTTTTTTAAAAGCGCTTATAAATAAAATGTATTATTATTATCATTATTATTATTATTATTATTATTATTATTACATGCTGTATGACACTTTTTCTATACTTGTGTTGACACATCTATATATTTGATCAGTTTTTAATTTGTGTAATGGAGGCTTTAGGCTATAGTTTTTGGCTAGAAGCTTCAGCCAAAACCATTTAATAAGTCTGTTAATACATCAAATAATTTATAAAAATGTAAACTCTTACAAGTCATGTTATCTTGTATCAGAAAACTGTAGGAGACCAACCTTGGTGTGAGCTGAATACAGGTTTTAAATTCAGCATCACTGCTTCTATACGAGTATCTCACCAAACAATGAGCTTTATGGAAAAACTGTTGAATCAAGCTTTTCTGAAATGAGGGGGAATATTTCTGGAATTTTAAAAAGTAGTGTAAACCAATGCACTACAAGTCTTTTTTGAAATGTTGATTTACTCTTCCCTTATTAAGATATTAGGGAATAGATTTAAACTTCTTTATCTCTTCCTTCTCCTCCATTGTTTTTCAGCAGGAGCTAAAGGTGCGTCAGACAAATCAGCTGCAAGTGCCAGCGGAGGAGATGACCAGAGCGGCGGCGAGAACTTCCAGGTTGGGGATCGAGTATGGGTGAATGGGAATAAGCCCGGCTACATCCAGTTTTTGGGAGAGACACAGTTTGCCCCGGGGCAATGGGCAGGGATTGTACTCGATGAGGCGATTGGGAAAAATGACGGGTCGGTGGCAGGGGTGCGGTACTTCCAGTGTGAAGCACTACGAGGAATATTCACACGTCCATCCAAGTTGTCTCTCACTGAAGGGGAGGCTAATGGAACTCAGACAGCACCACCCTCCCGTGCTTCATCTCCCACTCCGTCGGTTGGTAGTGTGGCCTCACATACACCTGCCACCAAATCAGCATTACCCACTACAACTGCAACCAAGAAGGCCTCTGCCGCCACACCGGCTACACCGGCTACACCGGCTACACCATCCTCCAACCTCGCACGCACAAACAGTGAATCTGTGTCCAACCTCTCTGAGACTGGATCAGTGAAGAAGGGGGAACGGGAACTGAAGATGGGCGATAGAGTACTGGTAAAGTTTGTTCACTTTATATGACAAAAAGAAAAACCCTTCTGTCCTCTGGATACTTCAGCAAAGTGACAGATCCAAATATTCAACCTTTGTGTCTTAGCATTATTTAGATTAGCATGGAAAATGACAGATTGAAAGTCTTAGAATTCATGACAACCTATTCCTTTCCAGTGAAGTAACCTTTGAGTAGTTATCACATAAAACATGGCCACTCTATGTCACCAAGACTTCCACCTTTTTGTAAACAGATACTATCAATCCAGCAGCTCTGCTTCTAACAGTTGTGTGCAGTCCTGCTGGATTGATAATATCTTTAGGAGCACTTTCCCTCCTCCTTAATCCACTGCATGCTTCTTGCAGCGGGCCGAGCTATCACATGTCTGCGTCCAACCCTCTAAAATTACATTTTGCTTCTTGCGTGCGGATCAAGTAGAATTTGAAACATCACTTTTTGCACAAGCAACACTCTTTTCCATGCTGATGATTGGTCCAGTGGTCTATGGGAACCTCAATCAAATCCCGCCCGCTCTTCCAAAACGCACTTGTAATTAGAAAGCCCACATGTTTACCAAGATCAGTATAACATAGCTGCACATCTGCACAGTGCACACACACACACACACACACACACACACACACACACACACACACACACAGCAGCCAAGTATGAAAGGTTAAACCAAGAACACTCATGCTTTTGTGCTTTCCTCACATGATCCTTCACCTGTGCTTGGTGTAGACTGGTGCACGGGACCCACTTTGATGTTGGGGATCAATGTCAACTACTGCATGGACAAGAGCTTGGCTTCCAAGATTATGTACACATGTACCGGTAGTTGTTTCCCAGAGCGTGCAGGAACCCTTACAGATTCAGTTTTTCCCCATCTCCTTTCTTCAGCCATGAAGCTTTACAGTATAGAAAATAATAATAATAAAAATAAATAAACTTTAATACACCTTCAGTTTCTCATGTTTAACATCTGGTAACATTTTGTTAATAGCTAGTACATGTTTGATTCTGTTTCTTTGATGGAATTATCTCATTTAGGGTTTATTACCAGTCAAAGCTGATTACTCTTTAGGCCTCGCTTATCAGTTGAGAAGATTAAAAGTTGGCTGATGTTGTGTTGTTTTCTTCCTAGGTTGGTGGTACAAAGGCAGGAGTCGTACGTTTCCTTGGAGAAACAGATTTTGCAAAAGGCGAGTGGTGCGGAGTGGAGTTGGATGAGCCCTTAGGAAAGAATGATGGGGCAGTTGCAGGCACAAGGTACTAAAGCAAACAGATCAGTGAAGAACTGAAGATAGTTGTTATTCCTGTCAATCAGTTATATACCAAGACTTCAATTATCTTTCCCCAGATATTTCCAGTGCCAGCCCAGGTATGGCTTATTTGCTCCTGTGCACAAAGTCACACGCATTGGCTTCCCTTCCACCACACCAGCCAAAGCAAAAACAACAGTACGGAAAGTGGTGGCCACACCGACGGGGCTAAAGCGCAGCCCTAGTGCCTCCTCCATCAGTACCATGAGCTCTGTGACATCATCAGTCAGCGCAAAGCCCAGTCGCACAGGCCTGGTGAGACTTTGACACTCTTAGTATCAACAATTTCAGGAAGTTGATCTAGTCTGTTTTTAATCCTGTGCTCACTTCATCACTTTGCTTGTTTTCTCTTCTTCCATAGTTAACAGAGACATCGTCACGCTACAATCGTAAGATTTCGGGCACCACGGCCCTGCAAGAGGCTCTGAAGGAGAAGCAGCAGCACATTGAGCAGCTGATGGCTGAGAGGGACATGGAAAGAGCAGAGGTTGCCAAGGCGACCAGCCATGCCGGAGAGATGGAGCAAGAAATCGGCCTTCTCAGAGTCGATCAGGAGCAGGTCAGCTAGCCAAGGGTTTAGTAATTAACTATGAAAATGACCATCATAATTAGGATCTATACATTGAGTCTGATTTCAAACTCTCTGTTAAAGATGGAGGCTAAGATGGACCAGTTACGTGCCTTGGTAGAAGCTGCAGACAAAGACAAAGTGGAGCTGGTGAATCAGCTGGAGGAGGAGCGTAGGTAAGGACTGTGACTTGACAGACACACACTGGTATTTACAGTAAATTGGCTGCTTAGATCATGATGCTGTTGTACTATTACAGAGTTATAAAATCATTAGGGCAAGCTCTGTGTCTTAAGTCGGCTTAGTTATGTTGAAAGCACAGTGAATGTTTTATTGATATTGTTGTTTTTCTGTTGAATAGGAAGGTGGAGGACCTTCAGTTCCGCGTAGAGGAAGCTTGCATTACCAAAGGAGACCTGGAGGTAAAACCACAACACAGATCCATACTATTCAAAGTATCGTTTTCTTTTTACAGTTTGTGTTTATAGAAGGTTCCATATCAAGATTCAAGTTTACCATACATGAACCTTGTCCAATGTCCTTTAACAATTAAGTGATTTACCTTTTCTCTACTTTATTCTGTCCTCATGGATGCTGGTCCAATACAGTTTAGGATTGCAGAGCTCTTGACAAATAATTTGCATTATCTCTGCCTACTGTTAGCAGTATAGGCCCGCCCCTCTGCACTCCCAGTAGCCATGTTTGCATGGGCAGTTTGATACTGGCTTCATCTTGCATTAGATGATGTGCTGTCAAATGTACCCAGTGCTGCACGAACACTGTGCCTTTGACGACAGTGCCAGCCCTCATCTGAATCCAGAATAGATACATACTGAAACCTGATATCCACGAGGCCACTAAAACCTCTAATCGTCTTTTTAACTGGCATATTTTAATGTTGTATTATGGAAAGCCTGCTAAATATCAATGTGATAATTAAAGGTTAAGTGACTCTTCACCAGAGCATTTGGCTATTTATTTAAGTCACATTTTTGGGTCCAAAAAACACATCATGGTGCTAGTTTAATATGAAAACTGGTGGCATTGTTCTGAAACCTGCTTTTTCCTTTGCAAATAATTATACACCAGTTTAATACAGTAGGCTCTGTTTTTTTTCCAGGTGGTTCATTTCCTCGTCCATAGTTAGATGATATGCAAAGTACTGGTGCAAAGTGGTATTTACACTAATATCTGATCAAAGGATTTGTCATTTATTCCACAGTTCTACACAGGGATCCTCTCAATTATCCTGAAGGCATCCAAGCTCTAAATAGATGTTTAAAAAATGAGGGCTACAGGGTTAGAATATCCCTTTATATTATTTTTAATGTGTAAACTAACAGATAATTTCTAACTCACAGCTGTGAATTTATTAAAAAACTTGCATGCAGCTTGAAATACACCAACAACACCAACAACAAAAACAACAATGGGCCCAACTAAAAAAAGTGCTTTGTTGACTTCAAGCTGTTGAAGGTGTACTAATTTTGTGCTGTAACCCTCAGTGCCTCCCTGTTAAGTGATGTGATGTTATTGCTTCTTCCTCCTTCTCGTCTTTCATGTTGGTCCAGTGCCCAGCATGGAACCACTAGAGATGCTCCCTTGTCATTTCACTGCCCAGTCACAGACCTGTATTCTGTTTCCCCTCAGCAGCTAAAGAGGAATAACACTTAAGAAATTAAATGTAATTATATTCAAAGACCGATCTGCCAGGCTTCATTTAACTCATACCTACTACATTGACAATGAACAGTAGGTGCGTATAAAATACTTCTACAACCAAAACACACAGAAAATGTACCTTGAGATTTAATGCATTTATTAACCACATTCTTATCGCCTTTATTATATACCTGTAATGTAGTATATCAGTTCATAGTGAGACAATACAATTACAATTATCAGATTGTGCCTTAAAGACTTAAAGAAAGGTAAAGTAAGTTTGGTGTTTTTGAAGTTGGATTGTATGAGATACTTGTCAATTGAAAGTGTTTTACCCACAGGAGATGGAAATGGAGGAACATGTATGTGTAGCGTCAGCAAATAGTAAAACATCTCTGAATATAACGCACCCTTACACCAAGTGAGCTAAATTTCATGGACCTAGTGATCAAAGCTGCAATGTTGCATAGCATAGACCAGTGGTTCCCAAAATGAGGGTTGGGATCCCCTGGAGGGTCGTAAGACACTGGGGGGGGGGGGGTTGCGAGATTCTTTCCATAGACATATAAAAATGCACATTTTACCCATTATTGTGACAATACATACCAAAAAGTAGTTTCTTACAATAAATTACAAAAAATATATATTAATGGACTATTGTATGGTGCCAGTGTTTGGATAGGCCTAATAGTGTGTGTGGCTGTGCGCAACGTTCAATGTTTAAACCACCTTCAGGGACAATGGGGGTCCCCAGTCTCTAGCTCCGTTATATTGGGGGTCGCGGGCTGAAAGTTTGGGAACCCCTAGAAAGCCTAGACCCCCTAGATCTGCTGACAGTCATCTCCTTTGAGTGATACACTTACTCTTGATTAAGTACCTGATACAACCCTGTTTAAAAACAAAAAAACAACCTATTTAAAGCTTTCTGACTTGATAATGGGATCTTTGGCATAACGTTTAAAATTGGTTAAAATTTAACATCAATATATATTTGGTAACATGTAGTTCAAAACTGTGTCTAGAAATGCTTTCATAAGTTTCCATACAAGTCCTTATTCATCACACACGTTACAAGGAGTCAGATGGGAATCCTTTCTGTTTCCTGAGATGCTCTTGTGTTCAGACTGATTTCTATAAAGTTGGTCACCAATCCTGCACATGATGGTCTGATCACTGGTGGTTTCTGTTATATTACTTGCCTACACACAGTGTGGACAATGGCCTTACACCCAAAGAGAGAAAGCAGTGAGAGTATTGATTATGCTCTTTAGACACTTTTATCGAGACATAATGATTGGCTAAATAATCAATTAAAAGCAAAGAATGATCTTTAAATCTGATTTCTGTTGATAAATCCTGAAACTAACAGCAGATATCCTCTGTGTGACAAACTGCAGTGAGCTCAGAATGAAGTATGTGGCTCAAGAAACATCCATCACTGCTTTCTCTCAACGATGTGGGGAACTCATATTAACTGACTTGCTGGCTTGACACACATTTGAAAACTTTCTATGGATGGTAACAATGAATGTGCTTTATTCACCAGGTGTCAATTTTGCATGAGTACGTCCAAACTGTCTCCAAAAACATACTCACATCCACAACACATGATTCCCCCCCCCCCCCCCCTTTGCTGCTTGTCCTCCATTCTGTCACAAACTCCCCCGTGTGAAGCTGTTTATGGCACAGCCTGAAAGTTCTGCATGGGGTGTCTTCCCATTTCCACTCATCCACCACTCCTTGCTCTCACCCGGTACCTCAAATACTCATACATGAAGACACACACATTCAGTACATACAAACACACACACACATCCATATTTCCATTGTCCAAACCCATCCATCCTCTCCTCTGTCTCCCTCCCTCCCTCTCTGTCTGCGTTGGGCTGGCATGTGATGGTGGCACTGGTGTGTTCTCTTCCTCTCCCCCTTGTTTACTAACAGACGCAGACCAGACTGGAGCATGTCCACATTAAGGAGCTTGAACAGAGCCTGCTCTTTGAAAAGACCAAAGCTGAGAAACTCCAAAGAGAGTTAGAAGACACTAGGGTAATGATTTCTGCTCTGCAGTGTGCTGCGCTGGAATAAGAGGGCCTGGGATGGTGGCCAAAAAAAAGCAAGGGGTACAGAGAGGTGTCGAGCAGTAAATGGATCTTTTGCTTTGTTTGGGCTAATGGTGGATGAACCCTACAAATGCATTTTAAGGACTTTACATCGGAAAATTATTATTAAATTACTAAAATAATAATCGAACTCAAGTACACGGCTTATTGAAACGCTTGAATCAGTCCATCCTGCGTAAATATTAGCATCACTATTTGTGGATTCGGCTACAGTTACATTTTGGATCTATTTTCAAAACATAGGTTGTACTTGAAATAAACACGCTTCTGTCCTCTTTATGGAAGATAACTCTTTTACTTGTACTATTTTCCCCTAAGATACAAATCTGAACTCACTCTTGCTTAACTGGTATCACTGCTTAACCAGACAGACAAACTTCTCCTCTGTCCCAGCCAATCATTTTTCGCAGTTATCCTATGTTCTACTTCCCCAGTCCTTCCCAGCATCCATTTGTCCTGCTTATTTGGTGTCCCTGCGTTTGGCTAGTCTAAAATCTCCTCCCCCTCCCAGACCTCTACGCCTTGTGTTCCCAAAGGGTTTTCTAGCTTTAGGGTTATTGGGATATATTTTATTTATTTCACAAGGATGAGGGCGATAGCTTCTTCAAGTTCTATTTGGATCATTAATTTATGAAGAAAATGTTGAGACGTATAAGAAATTATTCAACTTTCCCGATGAAGCTTCAGATGTTGACTTGAAGCAGCAAATGATAAATCCTAAATTAGATAGATAAATATATTTATAGATACTAAGTTGGATTAATAAACAAATATTGGAACATGGTTTGATCCTGAGGGGTTTCCTGAGTTCATACCTTTATCAGGACATAAAATTAGTATGAAATGTTTGAGTCTATTAGAAGTTGTAAAGTGTCCTACACACTGCCTATAGCTCCATACATGCTTTCAGTGTTCACTTCCATTATTTGGACCATACTCTTTTTAACCACAAGAGGTCAGTATAACACCTTGATTTAAGGATCAGCAGTTATATGCCCTCTAGATAATTATCATTTAGGGTTATCACCATGTGCCTTGTTATCTATAGCTGCATTTTCCCAATCAGATTTTCATTAGTTCAATACTGTAAAGTATGATTAAGACTGTTACCCACTTATGTAAGTACACTGAGGCTCATTATTTCAGATTTGGACATGTTTTTGACTACAAGATTTCTCCTTCCAAAGGTTGCAACAGTGTCAGAAAAATCCCGCATTATGGAGCTTGAGAGGGACCTTACACTGCGAAAAAGAGAAGTAGCTGACCTGCAGCTGCGTCTCGGCACCCAGCAGGGCTCTGAAGACTCAAACGCGGCTCTGTCTCCCCTTCTGGAAGAGATCACCTCTCTGAGGGATCAGCTGGCTTCCCAAGAAGTCAAGCAGCAAGAAGAGCTGGCTAAATATAAGGAGAAGCTAGAAGGTCAAGAAAAGAGCCACGCTGAGGCTGTCGCCCAAATTCAGGCTACATCTGTAAAGATCTCTGGTGATAAGGAGCAGCTGCAGATGCAGTTAAGTCAAGCTGAGAAGGAGAATGCTGAAAGTATTGATCAGTGGCGGTCCAAGTTGGAGTCTGCTGTCGCCTCTCACCAGCAAGCCATGGAGGAGCTGAAGTTGTCTTTCAGCAAAGGTGCAGGAGCTCAGGCAGAAGAACTTGTAGAAACTAAGAGTGCTCTAGAGAAGCTGAAGTTAGAACACCAGTTGGCTCTAGACGAGGCTGGATCTAAACATCAAGCTAGTGCTGCTGCTTGGACTCAGGAGAAGCAGGCGCTGAAGGCACAGCTGCTGTCTTTGACTGAGGACAAGGAGCGACTGGAGGACTCACTGCGGTCCAGCGTGGACAAAACCGAAGAGCAGCACCTTGTGGAGATGGAGGATGTTCTCGGGAAGCTTCATGCTGCTGAAATTAGGGTTAAGGAGCTTGAGGAGAAAGAAGCGAAATCAGCGCAGGAGGCCCAAGATAAGGAGAAAGAAACCAAAGAGCAGATTGCAGAAATGGTGGCTCTGCGCAGTCAGGTAGCACAAGGTAACCAGGAGGTTGAGACCCTGAAGAGTCAGTTAGGGGCGGTTCAGAGCCAGGGAACCAACCAGGATGCAAAGGTTGGTTCTTCTTCTAAAAATCTTTATTTTTGGTTTTTGTGATGTGTTCAGTGCATGGCATCCTAAGAGAATGATCATCAGCCTTCATTTGATAATGTTTTGTTTTAATGTGCATAATAGCTTGCTGTTTGTTGTTGTTCTTTCATTCACTGTATGTTTTCCTTGACATGTGATATAGGTGAGTGAATTGAGCTCTCAGCTGGAGAGCAGACAGCAGGAAGCGCTCTCTTTACAGAAGAGTCTGACCACCACCCAGCAGGAGAAGGACTCCCTGGAACAGGAGCTCGGAGGCTTGGTGAGGCTTTCAGTGTAATGTTAGATATCCATACAGTACTTCCTTTGAGTTAGGATTGAAGTAACTGTCTTTTTCCCCACAGAAACAAAAGCTGACTGAAAGCACAGAGCAGCAGACTAGTTCATCTAAAACTATGCAAGGTAAATGATACAGGCAGTTCAGATAGTTTTCTTCACAACTGTTCCTGTCCTCTGGTAATATTTTACCTTTTTCCAGCATACAAAGTATTCAAGGATTTGAAATGTAATGTCTTCATTTTACAGAAACACTTGAGAAGCTCAGTAAGAAAGAGGAGCAGTGCACATCCCTGACCACAGAATCCGAGTCTCTCAGGAGTCAACTTTCTGGTGAGGACACTTGAACTGTATTTTCTTTGTAAAACATTTTTAAGAAGCCTAGTAATAGTTTTTTTCTGTAGTATTTTTCTCTTTTTCGTTGAGTAATAACCTTCAAACTGATTTTTAATTCTCACTCAGGGCTGGAAAGGAAACTGAAGGCCGCAGATGAAAAGCTTGAGCAGCTATCAAAGGACAAAAGCAAGCTGGAAAATGACATTTCAGACATGATGAAGGCAACTGGTGATAGTTCAGTACAGCTGACCAAAATGAATGAAGACCTCAAGCTGAAAGAAAGGTAAGGCGCCCTCACACTAGGCCATCTGTAATGTGCCCAAGCAGGCTTCACCCTCAAAGTCCAGTTTGTTTGACCAGTGTGAGTGCTAGGTCACTTTCTGTGTAAGTTGTTCCCTCTCCCATTGTTTTATTAATCAGGGCTAAACTCACACGCATCACAACCACAGCTATCAGAATAATTGTTGTCCCCACACCCAACCTAACAGAACTCAACAGCAGGGCCGTTACATACACTGAAACATTCATATAACAGGACACATCGACAACATCGACTAAACATCCACCTCACCTACTTCCCTCAGGACGGAGTTACAGAGCACTGTGAAAAGGAATTTCCCTGTGGTGACAATAAAGTCTAATGAACTCAAAACAGATCACATCAATGTTATCAAAAATAGATTCTTATTTTTGGCGATATTCTATGATAAGTTAATATCATTATCATTATCTTTTTTTGCTTTATTTCAAGCCGTAGTTTATCTATGTTTTAGTAACCCAACCTGTCAGTTAAACTTTCACTCTGACATCATTTTGTTTTTCTTCATCACTCAGGAGGCTTGAGGAGTTACAGAGTCAACTGTCAGAGGAGAAGGAGAACGTGGCACGCTTGGATGAACAACTCCAGCAGGAACAATCTCGCAAGGAGCAGGAGCTGAAAGACATCAGAGAAACACTCAGTCTGAAAGAAGCAGCCTTCAGGAGAAGATCACAAACTTGGTTAGTATTGTTGGGAAGTCATAGAAACATAAAAAAGCAGAATTCAGGCACTTCTAAACTTAGAAAGCTGTTAATGTGTATTTCTTTTATTTAATTGAACCTGTATTTTACCGGGAACATTCCCATTGAGATACAAAATCTCTTTTACATGAAGTCCTGGCCAAGACAGCAGCAAATGATTCCAAACAAAGAGCTGTTTGAAAAGGCAGAAATGACATGAATCAAAGATTTAGTTGTGTTCAGCAGTTAGACATGTACCAACACTGGACAAATGGTGCTTAATCCTGGTTTTAAAATCATCCACGCCAATGAAATCCTGTAGTTTAAGGTTATTCTGTAGCCCACATCAAATGAGGACTCAAAAAAATTATTTTCTTCCTTGCAACAAAACATGTGTACTTGGTTTACTTTAATAGATTTTTTCCCAGAAGAGAATCAATATGTTTTTTTTTTTTTTGTGATTTATTATTGGATTTCCTTCCCTGTGTTCCAGGAGAATACTGTTAAACAGAGTAAGACTCAGGTTGAGGAGCTTAAGGCCTCACACCAGAAAGCGACCTCTGAAGCCTCCGAGCTCCACGTGAAGGAACTTGACGTGCTGAATGGTCAGGTTGACAAGTTGAAGCAGGAGCTCACCTCCTCAAAGAACAAAACCCAGGAGCTGGAGAAGTCGGTGTCTGAGCTTCAGACATATAAGGAAAAAGCTCAGGTAAGCACAGACTCCATCAAAAGTACAGAAACATTAACCAATCAGAGTTTACAACATGTTTAATGAGAAAAGGTTACTCTATGTATTACTCATTCTTTGAAATTCATCAGAAAAAAAGGTGATCCATCCTTTTTGTATTTGGAAATTTCCACTTCGACATATCATGAATGATTATGTTTGACATCGATCAATGATGTAACATGGTAGAGATGATGCATAGTTATTCAGCATTTGAAATCAAGCTTTACTGCAAAATTTCTGCTGCAGAATACATTTCACTGTAAGTAGTGTTGTAACCGAGACCAAGACATACCAGAGAACAGAGTGGTCAGAGGCCAAGACAAGACCCAGACAAGACCAAGACATTTAGGGATCGAGACCAAGTCAAGACCAAGGCAGGGTGAGACCGAGACAAGAACAAGACCACAATTATCACTGAAAAATCATCTGGTGTTTAGGGGGCGTGTCACTCACACCGGCAAGGTTGCGGCCGTAACCGGGGGAAAAGAATCAGACTACAAATGAAAAATAGTCTTTCGGTGGTGGTCTTGACCAGTCTTGATTTATAAACCAGAGTCTGAGACCAAGACAGTACCGTGTAAAAATGCTTTGGATTCCGAGACTCGAGACCAAGACCGATTTCGAGTACTACAACACTAACTGTAAAATTCTTAGTCGTCCTTTAACATCCATAATAAGTCTACATGGTCCACAACATTGTCATCGTTTTTAACCATCATAATGATTATTTTTTGTCGCTCATTTCCCCTGACATTAAGCCAATTAAGCTCTTTACCTTACCTCTGTATTTCATGGTGCCAGGGGCTTTTTATGCTAGCAGGGATACAAGTGATGAAACCATTCTTAAATGTACTCTTGAATTGTTTGGTTATTGTGAAAGCCAATGAAATGGTTTGTTTGGAATCAAATACCTGGTTGTCATCTAACAGCGAAGTGGCTATTTATTCAAAGAGTTGGTTTCAAGTTCTCGTTGATCTGTATCCCTGCTAGCATTATTTATTAGCCTGATGTTTCAGTAAAGTAGAACATTTTCACTTCTAGACAAAAGGAGAGTTTTTAACATCTTATAATTTATTCACACAGAATACATTTTTGTTCATTTAAATGGAATTAAAGGAATCAAATAACAATAATTCATACATGTGTAAGAGTTCAACACAACGCTGTAAGTGATAGTACTCTTGTCCTCTGCAGAAACCTTTTCTTTATGATCCATTCAAAAGTGTCAGTGTTTATGTCATTAAATCACGTATTAGACAAAAGTGCAGGCTGAAGTGAAAATGTTCTACCTTTTTGGTGTATTTTTTCAAATCATTGCTGAGTGAACTTTTACCATTTTGAGCTTTCCCTGCAGCTTAACCTTTCCAAATGCATATCACTTTTGACCATGTGCGCTTGGTTTATTTTTGGATTCATCTTACTTTTTCGCTGTATACATATTCCCCTCTTTTTTTTTTCTTCATCTTTATTTTCCCAGTGTCTTTCTGCTGAGCTTGACTCCTCCAAGCATGACGTTGAACATTTGCGCAAAAAACTGGAAAACCAGAGTCTAGATCTGGAAAAAAGGTGTAAGGAGATTGAGGATGTTAAGGCAGAGAAAGACAATGTGAAGAAACAGCTCTCAGATTTGCAAACGAAGCTCTCTGCCCTCGAGAAAAGTCACCAGGAGCTTTCAGTCCGAAATGAAGAACTCATATTAACCAGAGATAAGCTATCCAAAACTCAGGAGGAACTACTCGCCGACAAAAAGCGGTCAGATGAAGAAAAGGTTTCTTTGGACAAGGAGCTTGAGAAGCTCAAAAGTTGTCTTCAGGAGGTGCAGACTGAAAACAAAAAACTGAAACATGTTGAAGGTGAACACCAGGCCCAGATTGAGGAGCTTCAAAGCAAAAATGCAAAGATTGAAGACTCGCTGCTAAAGCATCAACAGGACATCAAGCAAATTGAGGCTAAAAATAAGCAACTCCTTGAGGACTATGAAGATTCCTGCAAAGAGAGGAGCCGCCTTGAAGAAGATCTCAATGAAAGCAAGTCGAAGCTCACGTGTGAGAAGGACAATCTCATTTTAGAGAGAGATTCTGCCAGAAATGCAAAGAAATCTCTTGATGCAAAGAATGCTAAGTTGCAGGAAAAGATTAAATCCTTGAACTTAGAAAAAGAAGATCTCACGATGAAGAATACCCAGCTGCAGGCTCTCACAGAAACACTGACTAAAGAGAAGTCAGAGATGTCCAATGAAATCAGTGCTGCTGCGTCGGATATAAAGAGCCTGGAGACCCTGAAGGAGGAACTCCAAAACAAGGTCAGTGCCACAAAGAAAGATTTGGAGAGCTCCGCCCGTGAATGTGAAGAACTCAAAGCCTCAAAAATGAGCTTGACCCAGATGCTGGAGGAGTTCAAGACAAGCAGCCAGGTGACTGACTCTGAGAGGCTTCACCTTCTGCAGGAGAAAGAGAACCTACTTGCAATCCAGAGAAAAGTCTGCATTGAGAAGGAAGAGCTCCTCAGTGAGGTAAAAGACATAAAAGAGAAGCTACAAGCCACAACACAACAGTTGTCTCAGTCCAATGAGAAATTTAAAGAAGCACTTTCATCTTTCGAAGAAGAGAAGAAGACTTTTCAGCAGCAGAATTCTCAAACGGAGATGGCTCTTCATGCTGTGAGAAAAGAAAAGATGAGCTTGGATTCAGCACTAGAGCAGCAGAAGATGGATTACGAGCGTTTGGCAGGAGAGAAGGCAGAACTAGAAGAGAAGCACACAAAAATCATATCTGAAAAAACTGCTCTTTCTCTCGAGCGGGATAAACTAGCTAGTGATATCCGAAACACCAAGGACCAGTTGGACAGTTTCTCCAAAGCGAACGCTGTCTGTAATCAAGAACAGTCTAATTTAACAACAATGCTGGAAGAGTCAAAACGACAACAAGAAGAGGTGGAAGCAGCGATCACGTCTTTGAAGCAAGAAAAAAGGGACCTACAAAATGAACTGCAGAAACAAAAATCGAATATTGACATTCTTGAAAAAGACAAAACTGACCTGGTTCAAGAGCAGACAAAACTGAAAAAGGATTATGAGAAGTCTCATTCAGAATTTGTTCAACAGGTTGAAAACCTCACAAACGATTGTCAACGTCTGCAAACACTGCAGACTGAAGCCGAACAGAAAGTTCAGTCGTCGCAGAAAGAGAACCAGACACTGCTGCAGGAGATCCAGGAGTTAAAAAGTCAGACTGAATCAGTGTCAGAGGCCAAGGTCCTTCTGGAGACCCAGTTAAAGGCTGAGTCTGGTGAAAGGAGTAAAGTGATGTCTGACAAGGATGGTCTTTCCAAACTAACTGAAGAGCTGCAGAAAAAGTTGTCCAATGTCACGCAAGAAAACAAAGAGATCTCGTCCAACCTGAAGAATGTTGATGAGCAGAAGAAGTCTCTGGTGGCCGATATGGAGGCATTGAAAACACAACTAAAGCAGCAAGAAGAAGACGGTCGTCAGATGACAGTAGATAAAGAACAGCTGCTGTCGAAGCTCGAGGAGATGGGCAAACAGATGAGCTCCCTGACCGCAGAGAAGAAGGACCTCTTAGCCGGAAGATGTAAATTGGAGCAAGACATTTCCTCTATTCACCAAAATGAAGAAAGCTGGCTCTCCGAACGCTCTAGACTCCTAGGAGAGATAGAAAAGTTGCATGCTAGCCAGAAACAACTAGAGGCTGACGTCAACCGATACAAGGATGAGTTTGCAGAGCAGCACAACAATAATGCAGAACTTCATGCAAAGAGAGACGTCTGCGAGACGGAGAGAAATGAAGCCATCCAGCAAGTTGGGCAGCTCGAATCCAAACTAAAAAATGCCATTTCTATGCAGCTTGAGGTACTCCTCCTCCCTCCCCCGTAGTAATCACTGACACACAGCACCTTAGAGTGGCTGGGGCTACATCACATACTCACTGCATGCTCGCTGGTTTGTCTCCCTCTCCTTTTTATTCTCGTGTCTCACTTTCATCTTCCATTCACTAACAGCTGGTCACTCCCCTTAGCTCCCAGCCTGGACCTGTGGGCTTATAACGTGATCTAACATTCAAAGAAATGTCTCTGGGTTTCTATGATTATATAGCTCAAATAGATTCTTTATCACACTCACCAGCTGATGGTGTTAGCTTTTTGTATTTCGATAAATGTCAGTGTTATTTTGTTTTGCTCAAAAGGTAGATGTGGGATTTTCTCAACTTATTTCTTTAAAATCAGCTTTCCTTATTTATTTTTTATTACAGTCCAAATTACGATATTTATAAATCAGTCCAATGCATAGGTTTTAGGGATCTAAATCTACAATACACAATACTTTATTGTTGTCACAGCTTGCACAGTTGGTGCCGGAATACACATATAAATGGGTAAACATGTAACAAAAGCAGTAGCACATAGCAGTAACCGTAGCAGCCCATGTAACAGAAACGTGGGCGTTTGTTAAGAGCTTCAGTAGCTCTTTTTGTAACGTGCCCTCTTCCAGGTCAGACTCCTGTTTTTCCGGCAGAAAAAGAATCATTTGTGATTTCACTCCAAAGACATAAAATACACATTTCTTGATGAGTGATGAGACTCACGGTGTAACTAAATATAGGATACGATATTAAGTTTGATTGGTGGCTCAGGTTAACGATAATGTCTCGATGCAGCGATTCTGTGGTTATTGATATATAGCTAGATAATCCTGATTTGACATCCCCTTATCTGATTAACTAAATAATATTAAATACCATGAAAAAAGAAAATGCAGGTTGATGTATTTATTCACTAACATTTGCTGAATATATTGACTTTTTTTTCACTGCAGTCTAATATTACCCCACTGTCAACATCTTCACAATTAAAATTAAAATGAAAGTATTAAATATAGCAGGGAAACCTTTGATACAGAGCCATATTATTCATATTTTAACATTAAAGTATTGATATTTGTCACCAGTTTATTGATAGTTGTATTGCACAAGTCAGGACAATAATACATTCTGTAGCTGAATGGATATATTTGAGAAACCATGACAACAGATGTTTTCAACCATGATTTAACTTTTTGAGAAACTCCCACAGAGACTGCCTTTAAAGCACCACCACTAAAAACAGTCCTATCTCTAGTTTTCCTTCAAAGTTCAGTATCCGTTGTGAGGCCACAGGTTGTAGAGTTGTTGAGATTAAACTAATGTTTTCCTCCTCAGTGTAATTTTTGTGTTGTAAATTCTCAACCAGAATTGAGCCAGAATTCAGTTGAAGTTAGTCTAAATCAGTAATTTAGATGGCTAACTCTTAAGCATGCAGCTAATTCATTAAATATCAATGAAATTTGATGATTGGTTGAGGTCAAATGATGGATTATAAATTGTTGTTTGTGTTGTTTCTTCTTGTGATTTTAAAAAGTGTTCTCAGAAAATAACCTGCTTATGCACCGTTTAGGCGGTAGAGGCCTCTGGCAAGACTGCTGAGGCTCTCGAACAGCTGACAAAAGAGAAATCCAGTTTGATGCAGGAGAAGAACAAAGCTGAGTCGATGCTAAAGGAGCTGAGGAGCTCTAAGCAGGAGGTGGAGACTCAGGTAAGAGATGGACCTTTTCTTATGTCACAATACTGCAGTGAAGTGTCTCAAATCAAGAAATGCATTGTAGAGAAATGAATCAAGTAGAATCTGTTGTGTATGTGTCTTTTAGTAGTAACCACATGTGTGTTTGTAATTTTGTTTTTAGCTCAAACAACTGAAGGAAGAGAATTCAAAGTACCAAGAAGATCTGAATGTATCGAAAGAGCAGCTTTGCACCGAAACTCAGAGGACAAAGAGTCTGTGCCAGGAGATGTGAGTTTATCATGTTTCCACTGCTGCTATTGGCTGGGTCAGACTGAATCCAAACACATGGAGAAGAAATTCCTTGCATGTTGTCTTTGAGATGTATCCGCATTTCTTTGATGATTGTTGTTGTGATTGCATTTGTTCAGCGAGGAGCTCAAAGAAGCCGTTTCTGTGAAGACACAGTCCCTGCAGTCGCTGCAAGACGACAACAGCAAGCTGATGCAGGAAGTGGACAGCAAACACAAAGGCCAGAGTGATGTCATCAAGGTGCAACACTTTGTCTTTATTTTAAATCTTTGTGTTACAACCTACAACATCAGGTATTTTGTGTTTTAGCCTTTGATTTTCTGACCATGCTCTTTTTCCCCCTAGCTCAAAGATGAGCACTCCAAACTCAAGAAACAGCTGAAAGAGATGAAGCAAAGGTAGGAGAAGGCCTTTTCATTCATGGCTGATGTGCTTTTTACAATTTTGCAATTCCACAAATACTTAAATGTAAGTTGTCCTCTAAGGGAAACATTCTTTGACCTGTATAATGCCTGCAAATATGTCATGCATTTTTGAGCGGTATTTCATGCTATTCTTTTCCTTCAAAGCCTGCCACATAACGCCTTCAGGTACTTCACACCTTTTAGTATCATCTGATGTCTGTCAACACCACGTTATAGTCCAGATATATGAAACACATGTTGTATATGTGAGCAGATATTTAGGAACAAGTGCAGACTGTCACTTTGTTTTTCATACTGGCTTGCTTTTAGATGCACATATGCAAATGTTTGTCGGTTTAAAGTAGGGCCCGACCGATTTGGAATTTTTAGGGCCAATACCGATATTGATATTACGGAGAAAAAACATCCGATACCGATATATTGGCCGATATCTGTTTAAGATTTATCTTCGATCCGTAGATATAGATATACACATTTATTTTGTCGATCTCTCAAATGCAGTTATCAAACACATCCACACTTGTGGAAAGTGAATGTGCATGTACGTGCATCACCTCTTGACACTCTGGAGAGTGATGATGCTTGTTGTTATCCATATAGCACACTCTGCTGGTGAAAGTCAGAAACTGAACTGCTAGTGTAATACAATGCAACTCAAATGAAATGATTTTTGACTGAGTGAATAAATCTACAAAAATCATTGCATGCCTGCAAAAAAGTTAGCCGATACCGATAGTTACTTGATCGGCTGATTAATCGGTCTGGCTCTAGTTTGAAGTGTGATGTGACTTTAACTAAACTCACATCACAACACATCCCAAGTCATATACAAAATGTGTAAAGGCACTTTTACTGCTTGTTGGTTTGTTTTGTGCACCATCACACCTGCTTTATTTCTCCACTTAAGAAAATAAATGTAAAGTATGCCAATTATAATAATCAAGTTTAAAAATAAAAGACTCTCAGGACATGTGGTGTCTTCAAACAAAGGTGAAGAGTTTGAAGTCCAAAGTTGAAAATAAACTGAGAAATAATTCAGTGAATCGGGGTCAGACTCTCTCCGTGTCGTGTCATTTCTGTGACTGAGTTTGCTTTGTGTGTATTTGACAGTGAGAGCACCTTGAAGGAGAAGTTTGACAAGGAGAAAGGCGCCCTCCAACAGTCCATCAATAAAAACAGTGCCTTAGTATCAGAGAAGGACCAGCAGGTGGAAAACCTGAAGAGTGAGGTGAGAATCAAATGTGTGACTGGACTTAGTTTATAGTATTATCACAACTGTTGAGCTCGCACAAAACGAGTCCAGTCAGATGAAGATGATGCGAGGGCTTGTAGGAGTGTCAGTTTGTACAGTGATTTGAACAGCTAAACTTCTTGACTTCTTGCCCCCAAAGGTCTCCTGTTTGTCTGATATGGGAACTATAAAATACGAGAGGGGGATGAAAGGAGGCTTTAACAGCATATTCCGGTTAATGCAGCATTACAGTTTTCTATATTTTCCTGTGTTTTCTTCCTCCCAGCTGGCTGTACTGCGAGGGGAAAGTGCCTCCGTTAAAACTCTGCAGGGTACAATCCAGGCCTTGGAGCAGGACAAGGCTAATCTACAGGAGCGAGTCCAGAGACTGGAGAAGGACCTGAAATCAGGCCCTGAAAACACTAACAAGTCCTCAGGTTAGCCTACGACTCACTTTCATATTTCTGATATTAATGCAGCTTAGATGTATGTGAGGTAACAAAACATTCAAACCAGATTCACTTTTCTACTCCTGCATTTCATTTCATCTCGTGTTTTTTTTTCTCCAGGTGATGCAGTTTTGGACCAACTAAGGGAAGATAAAGAGACTGCAGAGAGTCAGGTTTGTGTATCTTTCCTCTCATCTAGAACAACACCAAACAAAGCTTGAGTAGATTAGAGTTTGTTTTCATTCATACACTCAGTGTTAAGACTCTTCCCTACCACAGCTCACAGATTCTGCTGATTTGACAATATCTCATTCCCCCTTTTGAATCATGAGTGGTACGGAAACAGTCTTACTGAATGCTGTTTGTGAAATGACATTTACTAATAAACACTTCCTCTGATGCAACATCAGACTCTGGAGTTTTACTGACAGCTTGTGTTGGTTTTACAGTATAATGTTTTCATGGAGGTGTAATTCAAATAAGCTGGTTATACATTTTTACAAGCCTACTGAGCACTCGCCTTATTTTATGTGAATCATGAATGTGTTCTTCTAAAGGTGTGTGGGGGGGTAATAGGGTGTGTCATCAGCTTTCTTACTTCTCTCCTCCAGTCGCTCTTTATTCTAAAATGTTATACTGTATTCTTGGTGTCAGTGATGACTTGACTGTGTTGTCTGGCAGGAGGCAGGTCCTAATTTCAATCTCGTTTTTTTTTTCTTCTCCTCTCCTCTGCCCTGTCTCTGATGTTGGCAATGCTACAACACCATCAGGCAGCGGTTTGTTCATGTTTTTCATCAGCTTCACTTGTGCATGTTTTGTCTGTCACCGTCACTGTTTCGTCCAGTAGATCACGTTCACACAGAACTGTCTTCCAAAGAAAAACCAAGCCTGATCCAAGAACTCTTTTTTTTTTTTAAATGTCATCTTTATTTCACCAGGAGGAACTCGTTGAGAGTAAAAATGTCCCCTTTGTGAATGTTCTGACCAGCGCAGGTGGCATCACATCACTTAAGTTCCTGAAAAAACAAAGATCAGCCATCACATGATCAAAATACGAGAAATTAAAAAACAGGTCAAACAACAAATATTTGTCAAAATAGACTAATATCATAAATATACCAAGCAGAAGACACATTTCCCTTAAACTTTCACTGAGCTTTCTGCAAAAAATCTCTACATTCATCAAAGATGCTGAGCAGACAGCAGATCTACTTTCACTCACTGAAGCTGTTTTCACGTATACACTGCAAAAAAAATGTAGATCATTACAAAAGGACTGCACCGGAGTTTCTCCTGACCTGACTGTTCACATATGCTCCTCACAGCAGGAGACTACCTCTGTCAGATGGGAAGGGGGGCGGGGGGTCTCCTGAGGTTAAAAAAAAAAAGACGCAGAAGTAGCGGACAAAGCAACAAGTCCGCTACACGCTATAGAATATTTGCCTTTCTATGAAATCACAGTTTCAACAAATAGCGGAGAATAACATACTGGAGAACAGAAAAGGTAATGTAAACGTAATGCAGCTGTTTAATTACATGCACAGAGATCATCGCTTGTATGCATACTCTCTATGCACTGACTTCAGTCACAGTATATAAACTCCCCTCTCCTATTGGCTCGAGGTGAATTCTCCTGATAATATCCTGCTGTGTTCTCACATCAGCTCACTTTGAGTTCAGGCAGAAAAAACACTAGCGGTCTGGCAGGAGAAACTCCGGGTGAAGTCCGAATGAAAAATGTGGCTGTTTGCGTTCACACATGCAGCTTCTCCTGGAAATATCAGGAGTTTTTCAGGAGTTTTCTGCAAGTGTGAAAACCTTATAGTGTTTTTTGTTTTTTACTGCCTTGATTAGTGATCCATCTCAGGCTTCGGTTTTTCTTTGGCTGACACCTCACAGTGGCAATTTCCCATCTTAGTCATTTTGTGTTCTTATTCTGGGAATTTGTCACAGCACAGAGGCAGAGTCCTTGCACATAATACATTGAATAAACATTTGTTTTTTAAGGATTTTGCTTTAAAAATGTGTTGATGGATGGTTTCGCTGTAAGCACCACTGACACTCCTTTTTTTGTCCTTTACAGATTGAGTTCCTGAATTCAGTCATCGTCGATCTCCAGAGAAAGAACCAGAACAGAAGGAAAAACTGGAGAAAATGGCTGAAGCTGCTCTCAACGGCAATAATCCAAGTGAGCTGGACAACTACGATAGGTGAGTCCCACACGTGGCTGACTTTCTCAGACATCCTCTAAACGTCTGTGTGTTACTGGACTGTCACGTTAATGTACCCTTTATGTGTATACTGCGTCTTGTGTCTGCGCTGCATTCATTTTAGAGGCCATGCACAGCCAACGGCATCATGTGCACACATATTATCACCTGCTTACATTAACATGGAGCTTCTTTAAAGAGGACATGTTTTCCCCCTCCTCCATCTTTTCAAACAGTCCCCCTGTGGTCTAAATGAAACATCTGTGCTGTGCTTTGGTCAAAATATAACATGAATCAAGCACCAGAGGAGGTTTGTGACCCTGTATAAACCAGCTCTCTCAGAACGCTCCGTTTTGGTGTGTGTGTCTCTTTAAATGCAATGAGCCCCGCCCCCTGAGTTTTCCTGGTAGACATCACTCCTTCACTAGCGAGAATAAAAATGGCCGACCTGCGCAAAAGTTTTGTTCTAGGCTGGAGGTGGAGTCCATGGGTGGAGATACCAGGGGAGGGGAGGGGATTTTTTTTTTACCAGAATCCCACTGTGACATCACAAGGAGAGCACATTTGAAACGGAGCATTTTTCTCTGTGTTGTAAGACTTATGCAGACCACAAACAAAGAACTGGATGGGTTTATTTCACATGTTGTGGGTCAGTAGACACTCAGGTTACCCAAATAAATGTTCAAAAACACTGAAGTAGTGTGTTTTTCATAACATGTCCCCTTTAATTCTCCCGCAGCCATGACAAAGAACCTGTGAAGAAGAAGCTTCCCCCGAGGCTGTTCTGCGACATCTGCGACTGTTTCGACCTCCATGACACCGAGGACTGTCCCACACAGACGCAGATGCCCGACTCCCCCGAACACAGCACCTTCCACGGCACCAAGGGCGAAGAACGGCCCTACTGCGACATCTGTGAGGTCTTCGGCCACTGGACCGACTCGTGCAACGACGACCAGACCTTCTGAAGCCCTTTCCCCCCCCCCCCTCCCCACCCTCGCTCGCACAATCAATATATTTGCACATCGTCTTCCATCATGCAGTGCTTTTTGGGGGTTTTTACGTGTGTGTTTGGTGTGCTTGTTTTTGCCAAGCGTCATTATCGTCCACGCCAGTCCTTAAGCGCTCTTACAGGAAAACAGTCACATTACAATCTCTTTTCAGTCATCCAATACAAATAACACACAGCTGTGAGCGCTCTGTATGCGTTATTGTACAATACTTGAGAAGAGAAATGTTTGATATCCTGGTTTTGTGTGAGTGATGACTTACTGTTGGTGGGTGCACATCGTGGGAGAAGCGGCCGTCTGTTTCAGATCTTTTAATTTATCAGAACCCCGACATTGTTTGCATAGCTTGTTGGGGGAATTGCAAAGAAAATAAAGTATCATACAAGGTGTTTATTTCAAACTGTAAATGATTGAGTGGAAAACAAATGTCAGTTCGCGCAACAAAAAAGGTGAGCCATAGTTTATTTTTTTAAGCCTGGAAATATTATGTACTCTTTGAAGCTTTGATAGGATGTGTGTCTTTTTGTGAATGTTCAAGGGGAGAGAAACACAGGGCTATGTGGCTTTAAGAGGAACTTTTTTTATGGTCTCTCTATGAAGGAAGTGCTGGATGATCGGGGGGGAGAATTTGAGCACTTGACACTTCCTGTAACCCCTCAGTTTCCAGTTAAAGGGCCTTTCCTAAAAGTTTCTTTGCGATGAAAGACAATTTGTGTAAGAAACGGTTGAATACTACGGCATTTCTTCAAAACGTTTTGAATATCTGTAAAGAAATAAAGGAATTTATGTATAAATTAAATCAAATCTCTCTGTGTTGACTTGTCATTTAATGGCCCAGTGTGCCCAGATTTTTAAATTCACATTCATTAAAGGAGCAGGATGTAACTCTGACACCTAGAGTTTGAAATGGGTACTGCAGTCTAAATTCTGATTGTTAATTTTAAATGTTTTAAATGACAATACATTCTTTCTGGTGTAAATTATTTCTCATCTTTGCTGTGCACAAATAATTCATTAATAATTAAAGTCCCCTTTCTTATTAGATTAAAAAGGCGGTGTCATTTTATATACTGACGTAAATAAAAAAGCCTGGACATTGATTGAAGTTTTATGGTTATGTACTTCATTATGTTGGGATTATAAATTGCTAATTTCACTTTTTTTCCTGGAGATATCGATTTCTTTATTTTATAATCTTTCCTGTGAGAAGTTAATTTCAGTTTTCTGCTCCAGATCTTTACTAATTTTGTCAGGATAACAAAACCAGCTTCCTATTCTCGAGGAAATAGTAAAACTAGTCTCTGGAAAATGGAGTAGATAAAATATATGGACGCATGTCGGCACTGGCTGAAGCCGGTTGAAGCTAATATAGTAAAGCTAAGCCTAAAATCTTACCCTGGCAGATGTAATTCAAAACTCTAAGTTTGACCTTGACTGCAGTCCAAAGAAAGCCTGACTTGAAAGAAAAGCCATGACTCCTCAGGATAAAAGCGACTGTTATTCTTTAAGAGTTTTGATGTGAGGTCAGAGCGTGCTGAGCTTCAGATGCAGACCGCCATCTGACCAGCTCCACTCTCAACTCCACGGTCACTGGTTCCTGTTGGCCGTCCGTCTCGCTCTCCTTCCTTCCCTTTCCTCTTCCTACAGAGAACAACATGAGACAGGAATAGCTTCAAAAAGTACCAAAACTTAATTAATACAATTATCCCATCTCTCCCCCTATCCCTTTCCAACCCCGGTGCAGTCTAGACCTGTGAAGGCTGTTTCATCATGAGCCGGGGATCCGGCCGAAGATTTCTGCCTTTTAATAAGGCAGTTTTTTCTTACCACTGTAACTTTTGCTGCTTTGCTAAAAGTGCTCATGATGGATAGGCCGGATCTTTGTAACATAACAATGAGTAAGGTCTTTTACCTGCTCTTTTGTACAGTGTCTTGAGATAACACTTGTTATGAGTTGACGCAATACAGATAAATTGAATTGAATTGAAATGTGTCTTTTTCATAGGACAGAAATTTAATGGAGGAATGAGTTCATCAGATTTACAGACAAACTCATGCACACTGTCTAAATTGCACAAAAACATTGGCAACTTTTCACTTTTTGCAACCAAATTTTGGGTGCCTAGAACTTCTACTTTTGTTGCTGTGGACCCTAAACAGGTATCGATATGATTCCATTTTTACAAGAATCAAATCAATGTTTAAAACTCTTGAGGCGTGACAAATACTAGGACTGACTAATCAATCAAAGGAAAATGTTTGAAATATTTTCTTTATGCTGGACTGTAATTAACTACTTAAAAAAACCCAGTGACATCAACAACATTTTAAATAACGTCTGTACGTCTGTACTTACTTGGAATGACATGCATCAACACATTTTAGTTACGCTATCTCACTTTGAAAACGAGTCATTTCCTGTCGTTATCCTGAAACATGACTCCTGTATCTTGCGTCCTTTAGAGTTGCAAGAGCACAAAACAAATACAGAAACAAGCCCTTTTCGTGAGAGTGTGATTTGGTAACAGCGCCCTAACAAAGATTTGCCGTCATTATGCCTGAAGATGTTCATATTGATGGCGTCATTTTGGTCCCCAAGTCGGTGAATTCCCATACTGCATGTGGTGGCTCGCCTTTAACAGTAACCGGCCCTATGTCTAGTTTTATTTACTGCCAGAAATTTTTCAAATATCATAAGAAACCAGGAGATTAATGCGATAAATTGATCTTTGCTGAAGGGAGAAAAAAGGGAGTCAATGAGAAAAATCAGTCGAGATCTTGAGAGAACATCAGGAATGACCACATTATAATTAAAATACGGATACATGTCCTCTTAGGGCTTCCGTAGTAAAACGATTTGCTTTATTATCTACATGATTTTATTAACCTTTTGAGGCTGCTGAATTCTTCTGTCTGGTGCTGCTGCCTCCTCTCTGCTTGGCTTCCTTCTCGTCCTTATTCTTATCCTCCTTTGTTTTCTTTCCCAGGTCCTAAAGTTATAAAAACATATTTCACATAAATAAATGGAAGCTATAAATCAAAGCTTTCAGATAATGATCACATGATCTCTGCTAATCACTGTTTGAGTAAAAACATTTTTTTTTAAAGATTTATTTTTGGGTGTTTTGGGCCTTTATTTGAGAGATAGGACAGTGTTGGAGATCAGGGAATGACAAGCGGGAAAGTAGCCACAGGTCGGACTCAAACTTGCGCACCAACCACTGCTCCACCAGCCCCCAGTAAAAACCTGCTCTGCGTGTAAACTCGCCTTCTTATATGTCAGCGCAGCTCCCGACTCGGACTCCGTATGCAGAACACCAAACTCACAGAGGACGTCGATTGTTTGACCTGTTTTGAGCAGGTTCAGCAGGGGGACGTGGACGGACGCCAGGAATCTTGTGACGGGGGCGTCGTGAATCAGATCCTGTGCTGACTTCTTCTTTTTGTCTTTACTCTTGTCTTTGTTTGAACCAGCTTTGTTTGGGGTCTGAAGAAAAGACATAAACTGTTTTATAATGTCTGAAAGCATTAGGGTTGTCCCAATCCTTATTTTTGAACTTTGATACAATACTATGACTCCTCACAAAGCGTTCACACTCTGGACACTCTGGATCTCTGAGGATGGTCTTCTTTGACCCTACGCAGACACTGACGTATTCTGATCTTCAAGTCTTTCTTAGGTCTACTTCCTTATACCTTCTGACCTCCATCAGTCAGAAGAGAACAGGGATTTATAGTCTTTGATCCCAGGACCTGCTGCTGATAAATTAGAAACACTGCTTGATTTTAAGTTTCACCGCTTTGTGTTCATCAGCTCTCTTAACTACCTCTCTATCAGTTTTTTCACACTTGAACAAAACTCCTGAAGTTTTCACTTTGACTTTGACTTTACCCCGAGTTTCTCCTCCCATCCACCTAGAACTTTTAGAGCGCTCTGATGTGAGAATCACAGCAGGACATTCAGAAGAGTTCAACTCAAGCGAGGGGGAGTGGTGACGTTCATTATACGTGGACGTCGTGCTCTCCGTGCACATAATTAAACATCTGCATCATGTGTTTTCTGTTTGCTCGTTTATTCTACTCCACTCTTTTGTTTATTGAGAATCTGTCAATCTACACATGGTATTGATTTAAAGGCAAATATTCTCATTAAAGCGGTCTGTGTCGTTCTTTTTTGAAGTCATGTCTCTCAGGAGACGAACAAAAAATTCTGATGACAACCTTAGGATGCAGTCCAGCATTATCTACATTATCTCTGTCTTTAGCAGACATATAAACACCTGGATAAAGCTGATTTGACACTAACCTGTAACACATAAGATGATCAGTATGTGAGGAGTTTTTTTTGTTGCAGTCACCCTCTGATACATGATTCCTAAAAAGTGAATTCATTGACTAATACAGGGTGTTTACAGTTTGTGATTCAGCGTGAGTAAAAAGACAAGCTCACTTCTTTTCCTTTCCCGCCTTTCTTCACTTTATCTGCTGGGTTTGGTTTGGCTGCAGTGACGTCCTCTGAAGGTGGGGGCCATGACAAGACCTGAAGGGGAAAATACCCAAATATGAGTCAATAGACCACAATTGTCAAAACAAATCCCTCGAACTTTGTCTCCTGTACCTTCTCTTCCTCTATCCTAAGATGAAGTCCTTGTTTGAGGAATCTCTTAAACCTACTCAGATCATAGACAGCGTGTGTTTGTGTGTCGCTGAAGTCCACGCACTCGGCCCACGGCAGCTTTGATGTGCTGCACCTCGACGCTGTGAGAAAGGAAATCAGGTGTTCGGAGCTGCATGCATAAATCAAGGTGTTGCACAGTTAGCAACACAAATCTGAGATAAAGCCACAGATGAGTCAGTGAGTGCAACCACTCTCCACTGGCTGGTCTGACTGTACTTTTCTCCGGAGGAAGCGGTCTGAATTCTTTAGAAACCGATAAGAAAATTGCAGTAATACAGGATACATGACAAAGGTAAATAATTCATCAGCACGATGACATTATTTCCAAAGTTGAATGCTATGCAGAGTAACTTTATCTTCTTGTGTAAACAGCAGACTCAGCTCTATCAGTGTTTGTACTGGTAGTGCAGTAATCTGTTTTCCTGCAGGTCGCACAAGGCGAGGGTGTTATTGGTACCATGAGTTTCCTCAGTGTGCACCATCGGGTCGTCTGCATCCATCTGTGTGGACGATTCTTTTTCTTTTGCACAGTTTTGGTTTGACGGCAGGTCGGCATCACTTGAGATGTTTTCTGTCACAAATTTAGGCTCACTGTCCGACGTCTGTGAACAGCAACACAAAGACACAAACATTTTAAAGACATTTTCAAGTGGACATTTTTTTTTTTTGAAACATTCTAACATGTTGAATGTTGTTTTCAGAAACATTAACAGGACAAGGGGCATGTCAACAATTCAAGGATTAAAAAAAAGTGTTTCATCATGAGCAGGAATCTCAACCAGCACAAACATGCAAGAATACAATATTGTGAAGTGTGCCAGGGAATGTGGAAGAGAGCTAGATGCTATGTAGCATGCCAAGAAGAGCTCTTAACAAAAAGGCCAATAAACCTGTTTCACACATCAGTGTTGTAGTACTCCAAACTGGTCTTGGTCTCGGTCTAATCTCGGAATCAGAAGTATTTTTCCACGGTCTTGTCTCGGTCTCAGACTGGGCGGACTCCAGATTTTAAATAAAGATCGGTCAAGACGACCACTGACAGGTTGTTTTTGCATGTCATTAATGTGATTAGAAGGAAAACACCTCTTTCTAAAAGAAGGAATAACTTCAATTCATTCATAATTCATTTT